ACATAGACGAACAGACGGACGAATGAATAGATGGACAAATGGATAGATAGCTGGACGAATGGACGAATGGACGAATGGACAGATGGATGGATGATACGTAGCAAATAAAATGGTAAATGACTTCTCCATCGTAATGACCACCTTTGTTCGTTCATTCAAGCAAGTTTTTTTTACCTTCAACGTGCAAAATAGTTTACTTCCAATAATTTTTATAGCAGAAAACGTGAAATTACAAGTGAAGAAATCCATTGTTACGTGATTTGTTTAATTTCTGTTCTTAACTTTTAACTCTTATAACTTTCATCCATTTATCATTTTAATGCATACTTTTTTCAAAAATTTTTTTTCACATTAATAAAATATTTATTGAATGAGTATTTATCTGTGTTTTGCACAGAATTGATTACTTAAAAATAGCAAGCATTTTATAGAGTAAAAGTTTACTTTATTCAGTTTTTTGTTCCTTGAGTAAATGTGATATATATCATACGATAATTACTCCAAATAAAAAGTATATCATTTGAAGTAACTAAGTAATTAATTATTGTAATTGTTTCGTTCAGCATGTTCAATTTCTTCTCGTACCAGCGTATTTACCATATTTAAATTTTTTGTGTACTAACATGTTTTGAAAGTATTACTTGCCTTCCTTCCATCGCACATACTGAAACAATTTTGGTGTACAGGCGAAAAAGTTTTGATCATTTATATTTTTTAACTTCTGTCATCTGCCAAATTTTAAATTTTCATTTAAACCATATAATATATATTTGTTACAAACTATAAAAATGTTAATTAATATCCAAATAATAGTTATAATAATAATTAATAATTATTTTATGTGTAAATCAAGTTCATATCTTAACAAAGTTTACTTAAATTATTAGCACATTCGTTATCATTCTGTTTGTTATCTTTAACAATATATCTATCTCATTAATACAAACAAAAATTATCATAAAAAGTTAAAAATCAAATTTACGTCAATTCATTTACTCATTTGCTGTGCTTTTATTGCATATGACTACCACATTATTTCAATAATATTATAAAAATCACATTAATTAAATATGGTTATCAATAAATGAATGAGTCATCCCTGCATACCTGTGAGTGATAAAAATATTGATAAGGTATTGATGATTCAGAAGCCAAAGTGAAGAATGATAAATGTAATGCTTCATATGTTACATGCACGACTTACGAGTAATTCTGCCTCATATGGAAAACAATTTGATAATTTAAACAACGTCATAAACACTCTGACTTACTTTTCATTCTTTACTTATTTTATTTACGCTTACTTTTTACTTTTTTGCGTTGTTGTCAGATTTACTTGAGAGTAAAGTGCTAATAGTGCCTATTCAAATTGTGTCGTCCAATTGTTACCTGAAGTGAATACCTTGTCAAGTGTACCTGTTCTCAGCAGTTTATCTGCTTCCCACCTTACTTCTTACATTCTACGATAACATCTATTGAATTCTTTTAGGTACGATAATTACTGGTATGTAATGAAATGGTACAACCTTTCACCTCTACAATTAATTTTACTTACTTCAGTTCTTTATCTAAAAATCTTACATTACTATTTTACTCTTTTCTTTTTTATATTTAAATTTTGCGTCAAAATATAAGCATTATATATTATTTGCGAAATATTGTTTGTTAATTTTTCCTTAACCTATAGCTTAAGGTAATAACTGAAATATTAACAAGTGTAACGGTAAATAGATCAACTGCATATTAAATTAGACTGAAAAGCAACAACCTATGACCTCTTACTGATTTGGATAAGTGTAAAAATACATCAAGTATCGCTGCTTTTACTTTCATTGAGTGATGAGGCACTGACCGAAGGATTGGTTGGTCACTCAACCAGCTGTCAATGTACGGCTGACCCTTGCTGCCCGCACTCTTTTTCATATTTAGCCCCTGTTCATTCCATTCTAACTCTCACGACTTGCTGTCTGTACCTGTCTGTGTGTTCCTGTCCTCCGATCCCTAAGTGTGTGTATTCTTGAATTGTTTTTGCGTCTGCACATGTGTATATGAACATTTGTCTGCATACATACGTATACAAATAAATATATAAATATGTATATATTTGCGTGTGTGTGTGTGTGTGTGTGTATTTGTGTTAATATCGCAGAGGAGAGTTTTGGAAGGCGTATGAGGTAGTTTGTATGTACGAAGGGCGTGCTGTGCGGGAAACCCTACCAATGGTGCACGCATTGATGCAGGGGGCCTTTGCTACCACCTCCTATCGCCTCCTTTCTCACTCTTTATTTCAATTTCGATTAAAGATATTCACACGTTTCATGCGTCATTTTTCACGTGAGATTGGATTTATTTGAAAAAAAGAAATAATTGCAGATATGGTGTGTTTATACATTGAAGTATATAATTAATGCCGTAAATTTTATATTGCTATACACCATTTGTTCAGCACTTGCATGACATTGCAAGCATCGCAGTTATACCAACTACGTGTAAGCACAGTCTAATTTAATTTCATTATTTTTGATAATTTGTAGTTACGGAAATATAAGTAAACAAATTGTGTATTTGTTTGCCGTGAAGAATAAAATTTTAGGATTGAGTCAGAAGTTGCAAATATTTGATGCTCGTCGATGAGACATGCACGCGTTTTCAATTGCATAGTATTTCATAATAAGTTATAGCATCAGTTACCATATTTTATCATGAAATATACTTCTAATTAATAATGATAATATTAATAATATTAATATTAATAATAATTAGATAAATGTTACAGCCATTTTGGAATCGTTCTTGGCAATGAAAAAAGGTGCAGATAGCTGCGAATGCTGTTCAACCATCCTCACTGTTGATCAGTAATTGCGAGCAGTTACTTGCAATAGTTGGAGTAGTAGTAATATAAATATTAATAATATTAGAAGCAGGAATTCGATACAAGGCAGAATCCTTTGCTGCTGTTCCTTTACATGATGTCTGTCAATTCGTTGGATGACATCGACTTGAACTCCTTAAGGGTAAGTCATTTCAATTATTGCAGGTGATCGACGGTAACTTTACATTTTGTGCCACGTGATATTGTTTAGCGTATGCAAACATTACCTCATTTTCATCATTAGTAGTAACCGTACTATTACTTTTCTCCGTTCCACGTTGCTAACCTTATCATCTCTTATTCGTTTATATATCCAGATTGTAGTTAGAATTATGTGATGAATTTGATTTTATTCAGATGACTATATAGATTGTCCATATGACACTTTATGTGACATGGTTCATACTCATATTGTATTTAAATTGTTCTGTAATAAAGATCTGTTTGCAGAGAAATTGATTTATTCAGATTTAAAAATTTGCGTAATTCCCCAAATAATATATGAATGAATATGCAAACTATTTCGCTAAACAAATTTATGTTTTTCTTTCTTTTTTTTAAAGAGATATACCATAAACTTTATTTTTTTGTAACTCATCTCCCATATTCATTTCTTAATATCTCTTAAAACTGAAGTAAGCAGAATCTGCAGAATCTCTGAGTTCAGAACTAATTATGGATTTTTTCTCACTTGATTTATTTTTAAATTCTAATACAAGAGACTAGTAGTTTCGTTAAACTGTATTATATAAACGCAATTATGTTACACAATATTCAGTAATTTTAAATGGTTACTTGCATAAATAAGTATACTTTTTGTTTTTTTGATAAAGTAAATTTTGAAGGCATTATTTTTTAGTCATAAAATATGTAGGTAAAATATTAAGTATGGCTAATTTTTGCAACAGTTTTTAGCATAATTTGCTTGTTTTTCTCAAATATAAGAAACTTTGTATAAATATTTACTTGATGATTATTCACATGTGCAAATATTGAATATTGCAATTGTCTGTAGTCAATAGCACTTGAGGTATAAAGAAAGTATCGTAAAAATTTATTTATGAAAATAATGTTACGAAGAAATATTCTAATATTTGAAAATTAGTGAAAGATTTTATTTTATGATTAATTCAGTATATAAGTTCTTTTATATTCATGTTATATAATGCATATTTTATTGGTCAATTGATAAATAGATAAATAAATACATGAATGAGACTGTAGCTTTTTTCTGCTACTGTTTTACATTTACTATTTACTTTTTTTAATAGTCATATACATAAGCATATATCTCTGGACATTGGATTTATGCGTACATGTACATAATTATAATATGTATATATATGTGTGTATATATATATATATATTTATTGTAGTTTTAAATATGCAAAATTAGAATGCATTTTACTTGACGGGGATAGGAAACGGTAGTGATCATGTGAGAACATGAAATGTATTATTGACTTATATGGCTAATTCTCGCTAATATATACTATCCTTGAAAGTATTGATATAGATTTGGCTTGTTAGCAAAATAACGACTGACAAGCGTGCGCGTGTATATTTGCGTGTGTGTTGTGAAAATCGAAGTTTATTAGAAATGTGACGCAAATTTATCAATTTATTGTCGATAAGCAGAAAAAATGGCATTAACTAGACGAAATGCGATGCTACTGACATTGTTGGGAACAGCTTGGCACGGATGAAATTGATGCATCAGTGAGCAACTGTGTGCATAAATGTAAAACACGTTTTAAATGACATTCTTAACACATATTAATTAATGCTAATATTTGCATTATCATTGATATAATCAGTAATTCCTGAATAGACTTGAATTTCTTGTTAATAAAATACAATTTAGTATTTAAATTAGCAGCTGACATCAAATGATGAGCAGAAATTCATTAAGTTCTAACATATAAAATTTTACATTTACAATAGCCAATAATGGTAATTTAGTTTATTTGTTACTTTAATTTTAGTCATTAATGAATACTCTTTTAATTAGATAATGAATAACTAGTATGTATTTGAAAAAAAAGAAGATTAAAGTGTAAAAGCTACTTAATTAGCAACTGTCCTCCATCATTTTGATGCAAACTTAACGTTAAAATTTTTCTACTCAATGAAAGTAAGTAGTGATTATTGGCATTGAAAGTGATGAATGTAATAAAAGATTGATTTACTAGAAGGCACGTTTTTACATCCACCTATCGTTTTGTTTTATTTGCTATAGGTAGAATGGAAGTGTACACACGCCAAGTCAGGTCTAATGACCTTTTACTGCTTTTGTTGTAGAAGAAAAAAATATGCATTTTTTTCTCATATAGAGAAAGCAAGAAATACAAAGGAAAAAAAAGAAATTTTTAAAGTTTAAAGTGAGCAGAAATTTTTGAATGATTCTGAATGCATGAGAAGAAGTGCACAAGGCAACGCACTGTTGTGATATAATTGCAAAGAATAAAAGTTTATTTAAAAAAAGATTACACAGTTTCAATTTTCATTTCCAATTAAATTTCAAGTTCTTTGTTTCGATTTCAAGTATTGGTCATTCTGTTTGATAAAAAAAATTACATTTAAACTACTACTTGTTAGCGAAACATCTGCCGTTTTCAGTGAATAATCAAACAATTACTGCTACTACTATTGACAGCAAATGTTTGCATATAATGAATTTCTTTGTTAATAGTTTGCAATTTTAATAAAATAATTTGAATGATTTGAACATTTTCCTTTAAACTGTAATCTACTTAATGGTTTTCATTAAATGTACGGTAATATTTTAAAAAGAAATTGATTTATAAAGTTTAGTGATTAGTAATGAGGTGGATGATATGCCAAAGTGCTAGCATTTAATCCAGTGCTTTTGTATAGCTATACTTTTTTTGCTGATTCTTGTATTCAAAACTGTTGGATTTGGTATGAATAAATGAACGGTATAATACAAAAAAGGTACTAGTATTGAAAGGAAATGTTTATTTATGTTTGTTGATTTTTAATTAATCAGTTTACAGGATCCAGCTGGAATATTCGAATTAATCGAAGTAGTTGGCAATGGCACGTATGGTCAAGTTTTTAAAGTGATTGTGTTTTTTGTTTTTTTGAATGTTAAAATTGTTCAAATTAATAATTTATAATATTCTTAATAACTTTTCATTACTGATTAGTTGTGCATATAATTGGATATAAATATGATTTATATTCAACATTTACTAAATTTGTGTTACTTACAGGGCAGACATGTCAAAACTTCACAGTTGGCTGCCATAAAAATTATGAATATCAATGAGGTTTGCACTGATATCTCGAAAAATTTTTAAGAGCAAAGATAATGGCGATTGTAAATAAGAGAATATGATAATTCAGATGGGTACAGATGGTTTGAAAATATTTGATGTCAAGAAATATATATAATTAATCAATTATTACTAATATTACATTATTGTTATATTTACGTAAGCTTATAAGTCAATTAGTATAATTTTTTGTATTTATCTCTTTTTAAAATTGTATATTGAATTCGCAATCTTAATATTTTGCAGGATGAAGAAGAAGAAATCAAGATGGAAATCAACATGCTCAAGAAAGTAAGTTTTTGCTTGAGTATATCAGGAAGGTTTTTTTATTTACAGTATTTATTTTGATTAGTAAAGTTTTGTGTTGAATGTAATCATATGTTTTTGAACATTTAAAAATTTGTTCGGAACATCAAGTTTTTGTGCATGTTATTAGAAAGTGTGGAAAGTATCATTTAGTATATCTGGCTTTGTTTCAGTATTCACATCATCGTAATATCGCTACTTATTATGGAGCCTTTATTAAGAAATTGCCTTCATCAACAGGAAAACTGGATCAGTTGTGGCTAGTAATGGAATTTTGTGGTAGTGGATCGGTGACAGATCTTGTAAAAAGTACCAAAGGCAATTCCCTTAAAGAAGAATGGATTGCTTATATATGTCGTGAAATTCTCAGAGTAATATATATATATTTTTTAATCGTCTTTCTAACTCCATGTTAACAATAACATATTAATGTGTAAAAGATTGTAATATTTTTCCTATATTTGATTTTTTCTAAAGTAAGGATAGTGGGATAATTTATAGCATATGCGTAATTATTATTTCCAGCTGTTAATTCTGAATATAATCAACTGTAGTCTGTTTTAGGGCTTGTATCACTTACATCAAAATAAAGTAATTCATCGTGATATAAAGGGACAAAATGTTTTACTTACCGATAGTGGCGAAGTTAAATTAGTCGATTTCGGTGTAAGCGCTCAGCTCGACAGAACTGTTGGACGCAGGAACACATTCATAGGAACTCCTTATTGGTAAACGCATTGGAAATAACTTTAAATATAAGTTGCAGTTTCCATGTTTGGCATTACTCTTAATGCATTTTCTCATTAATGTTGAAAGTTTACCTATTGTTGATTCTGATTTGATGACATTCTGTTTTAAATTGCTTTTTTACTTCATTTTATTTTTGTTCACGGCTCTTATCTTTTCTAATTATGAGATTGGAAAATTGGAGAAAGTTTCGATCTTTAGTTAGAATCATGATTTTTTATTGTTGTAGGATGGCACCAGAAGTGATAGCATGTGACGAGAACCCAGACGCAACGTATGATTCGCGTAGTGATCTATGGTCACTGGGAATAACAGCGCTAGAAATGGCAGAAGGTCATCCACCACTGGTTGATATGCATCCCATGAGAGCGCTTTTTCTTATACCTCGTAATGCTCCACCTCGATTGAAAAGAGGCAAAAAATGGTTAGAAAGTTTGTTCATCATGGCTTAATATATAGCTAGTATTTTATTTGCCTACCAGAAAATTTGATCGAAATAGAAAATGCAAACAAAGAGATAAAACTCATTTGATATGATGGTTTACTTATTTGCATAATCAGAATTTACTCTTTACTCGCGGTATGTATCTATACGTTATTGATTGTTTGAAAGATATTGTATATGTTTGTTAGTGATTTTGATTATTTGAACAAATAAAAAATTTTTATTTGAGCTTGTAAAAAATTTTAAAAAAGGAACTAATAAATAGGTATGACATTTACACATTGAGTTGCATAGAACCTTACAGCCATGAAATTTCCTTTGATATTTATCACTGAGCACGAAAAAGTGAGTAATTTAAGTGCAATGCGAATGCTGACTTCTTAAATATGAAATCAGTTTTTTCAGATTATGTTAACTGAGCACTTTATTCGCCCTATTTAACAGTTTCTTTGGTGCAGTTAATATATCCAATCGAATTTAAATTTTTTAGAGTAAGTACTTCATAAAAACAAGCACTTTATTATTATGCAACAAAAATTTGAATTCATTCAACAGGTCTAAGAAGTTCGAGTCCTTCATCGAAACAGTTCTAGTTAAAGATTATCATCAACGGCCATACACAGATCAACTTCTGAGGCATCCATTTATCCGCGAGCAACCTCCTGAAAGACAAACACGAATAGCAATCAAAGATCATCAAGATAGGCATCGTAGAATTATAAATAAAAAAGGTATTTAATGTATTAGGAGTCTTCAACTTTTTTCTTTAGTTCAGTAAATTTAACTTTTCACAGTCTGAATTATTTGATGAAATTTAGATGAAACAGAATATGAATATTCGGGTAGTGATGATGATGAAAATCACGGACAGATTGGCAAATCGCTCGATGTTGCAGCAGGTGCTTTTTGCTTCCGTAGTAATAAATTACGTCCACTTTTTATTTCTTAAAATTATCACCAAATTTAGGAATTTAATTCAGTTCAAGAACTTCTCATAAATGGTGATAAAATCACCAAAAAATTGAGGATGAGTTGGTTTTCTATTTTTTCAATGTATCAATTTTTAAAAACGAGCTCAACAGTCGGGAAATTATTAATTTTACTGAAGCTGATCTTTAACTCATTGAAACATATCAATTTATTGTAACGAAAAGATAGTTCGCTTAATGTGTAAATTTCATACTTATTAAATTTTTTAAGAATTAGCGGGCGTTGTGCAGCCAGTTCAAGACAGTACGCTGCGAAAAGGCTTTCAACGTTTGCAGGAAAACAACAAAAATATGTTTGAGCACTCACCATCTCAACCCATTAGACAACGTTCAGCTCTTGTGGGACCAGTCGTTTTGCCATCTGGACAGCATCACATTTCACAGCATCAGCAAAAGCATCCCTCTAATTCTCAAGCGTATCATCGTAATCCTAGTAAGTTCTACTTTACTAAATAATTTCATGACTCGTCAATTTTCTAGACTCGTATCGAGATCGTTCAGGTAGAGGGCTTGCTTTATATATTTTTAAAGTGGTATGAAATAGAGTTCGTCCGAAAGAAAAATTTATATTGTACACTTTAGCTTTCATCGATGAACCCTCTCGGGAACACGTCAAACTGAGGCAGCAACAAGTAGATCCACGCTTAGCGTTAAACGGTTTGAGTCATCAACGTCATGGTGATCACAATAGACGCTCACAACGGCCTTTTTCTCATCATCAGGCAGTTAATAATTTTCAGTTATTAAAGTTATATGAAATGTATAGAATTTTCAATGTAGTGAAAAAGTTTATCAAACTTTGATTTGCAGTTCCAGCGTGGCATATCACCGCATCATTCGAGTGCTTTAATGCCTCAGCCAAATCATCCAGCTGCTCCACATCTTGCTGATCTTGCTAATTACGATCGAAAACGTCGGAGTGAAAAAGAAGCTGCACGAGCTGCAGCTGAGCAGCGACGTGATCGGAGTGCCGCATCACGCGATCAGGTTCGTGATATGTCTCGAGAACTTAAAACTTCACATATTGCTCGTATTAATCCTTCAGTAGCTGCTGCAATGCCGGTGCGAAAGATGAGTGATCCTGTTTTAAATGGCAAGACTGAAGTAAGTTCTTTTACTTTGCAAATTGTTTCTTGAATCTTCTCACTTTATTGATCTTATTAGTATGTATTAATTAGGAAATTTATTTTGCTTTTTAGAATCAAAATTTGGATGTACTAGCAAATGAATTAACTCGAATGGGAAGACATCAACAAAATGGTAATTATAGTCCACCTCCCCCTGCTCCACCACCACGTGATGCATCGATAATGAACGCAGATGAGGCTAGTGCGTCTCACGATGGTACTCTCTTAGCCAGTGAACCTGGTTCCGGGCAGCATGAAAATGTATACTTTTTTACTTCCTGATGGTTTTCCAACATTTTTTATGAATTTTGATTCATTTTTTGGAAGGATTATGTTCAGATGCTGGAAGAAGGTACACTTCGCGGACCAAATAAACCATTACCACCTACACCGACGGATCATTCACCAATATCAGACATTCCAGGCGATGATGGAACATTGCTTGCTTCACGCAAGGTATCTTCCTTCTTAAAGGATGAGTATTTTTGAGTTGTTTTGTACAGGGAATAAAAATACTGCTAATAAAAATCTCTAGATATATGCGAAAGTATTTGTAATTTTATATTTATAAATTTAAGGTTAATGGTAGCATAGATGTTCATCGTCCCAATAACAGTGATTCATTAAGTAAGACTCGACAATCTCAAATGGTGAAAGCTGCTTCCATGCCTGATGTATGTTCCTTATTGTAATTGTAACGAATTTGTTTGTTATGTAATCAGTGAGTTCTATTACTTTTATTTTCATTTTTATTCCGATAGTTTATTACAAACGAAGTGAGGTCAAACAACAAGAATATTACGAAAAAAGATTCTTACAGATTGCTATATTTTTTGAAAAAAGTCATATGAAAATGCATGAAATAATTTTAACAAAAATTGAAGAAATAAAGTTAAAGTTGCAGCAGACATCATCAGTGGCTGAATTAACTGGATCTGGTTCTAGTGGAAGTGAAGGTTCTGGTTCATCACCTGAGGCATCACCTTTTGATGCTCGTAAAAGCACTAGTCGTACGTCGGCTTCGGCAGCAGGTGGACAGCGATGTGGTGTTATGCCAGATTTGTTACCGAGAACTCCTATTGAACGTTCGGTCCCATTTCTTGCCTTTACTAAAGATGGTAATTCCGCTAGTATCGAATCACAAAGTGTTGAAGAAGTAATTTTTAAACTGCTGTCATTGAAATATTTTCTTTATAAATATGTATTGCCTTTTAATTCTGGAAATTTTACTCAGCACTTTGGTAGTGAAAAAATATAAATCAAGCTCTTGTTGTTTTGTTTCATTTGCTTAAATCCCAATTTCGATAATAAGCTTTGATTAAAACTTTTATTTGCAAAGTATTATTATTTACTATCATTTCATTTTCTGCTTTGAAATTTGACAGATTACTTCACTATTTGGAAGCTTTTACGTGAGTCTTTTCTTTTTCTTGCTCCCCCGAACGAAATTTTTGTTTAATTCGCATGCTTTAAAGTAATTGCTAGTGGTAATAGTGTCGTTTCAGTGCTGTGTGGTTTCTTAAATTCATAGCAAATATGGGTAGGTTCCAAATAACCAAATTTTTTACGGAAATGTTTTTCGTAGTTAGATACCAAATAATTAATAATAGTTATTTGTTAATTCTAAGAAGAACTAGTTTAAAAACTTTTGCTCATGTGTAGTAACGAACTTGATTTTCTTAAGTTTGCGCTAATCGTATTCTCATAATGATGTTCGTGAAAATAGCGCGGAGGCATCTAAAGTTGTTTAAAATTAGCATCACTCGATTTATATTCAGGTTAATAATGGAATTGGAACATATATTGACAATTTATTAAAAAGTTCCTTAATTTTCAAAGTAATTGAATCATTTGTTTAATTTATGAAACTTAAAAAATTTGTTGAAAGATTTTTAAGTGTGAACTTTTAACTTTTTAATTTCTGTGACGCTAGAATTGCTTAACCCATATGGTGTGAATCATGAAAGCTTAAAAGTAATCCAAAATAGCCTTAAGATTTTTTGATCTCATGGTTCAATAAAAATAAAGAATGAGTAGGCTTGTAGTTTTCAAAATTGATGACAAAAGAACAAAGTACAGAGTTCTGCTCCTTGAATGAAAGGAACATGGAACTTTTAAAAAAATGTATTATCTTTATAGATTAAGTGTATTCAGTTCACTTTTTGAAGGCACGACCAGTAGCACTGTTTTTTATTTGATTGCATCAGTGGATGCCTTTGTGTTTTTGATTTATTTCTTAGGTGTACCTTTTTATTTCTCTTTAAAGTGTAGTGATTTTAAGTTAAATAATTTTCAGTTTCCTTCCGGCGTAAATAGTTTGCCGAAAACACAGGCACCGTTAGCAGCACGTGATCGTGAAAAGTCATTTGTTGCATATTTTGGTGCTGGTATCAATGGAGGTGGAACAGTAAATCGACCAGGAAGAGCACAAGATACTAATCAGGTCTATTCTCTTAAAAATTTCTTTTTGCAGAATATTGTTCTATAAACTTGCCAGAACCGTATCATATTGCACTTCAGTACGTTATAACCTCTCAGTTCAGGCATATTTTATAATTTCAGTTCAACGTTTTTTTTCTTTTTGAAAGAAATTTTTACTGAATCAAAATAAATCGTGACAACTTATTTGTCAAGCTATGACTTATGACTATTCTGAAGATAATATCTGATATCAATTTTCTTAAAGGATGTTTTTAAAGTTTTAGGTGCAAGTCAATGTTAATCCTAATCCAGGAGTAGCAAGCAACGGTCTTCATTCTGATGGTGACGCTCCAGAAATTCGCAAATATAAAAAGAAATTTAGCGGTGATGTTAGTATCTTGAAATCTTTCGAGTTTTTTATTTTCAGTGATTGACATTCCATTTATTGTTTCATCATCAGAGCTAAATTTTTATGTATTCAGACTTTAAAAAGATATTTTCTAGAAAAATCATTAATAGCTTTCATAAATAGTTCTTATGTTCACGGCTTTTGAAATGCTTTTATTTTTTATACTTGCCTAAAATCTAGAAATAAATAGTCAAAGAAGCAAAATCTCCAGTTTCATATGATGTAAAAATTGTCTTTAAGGATCTTATTTTAAATTCATTAATTCTAAAGTAGTCTGACGAAACGTCTCATCATCTGACAGTGTCACCTTTCAAATCGGAATTTCAGATTTTATGTGCTGCTCTTTGGGGAGTCAATTTGCTAATAGGAACAGACTCTGGTTTGATGTTACTCGACCGTAGTGGTCAGGGCAAAGGTGAACATTTTCTGTGATTCAGAATTCTGGTTAAAAAATTAACGTATATTCGATCTTTTATTTACTTATGATAGATAATCTTTGAAAAAGGATTTTGACAAAGGTTGAAGTTATGTGAGAAGTTATTCTCTATCTACGGATTTGATTCAATATTTATTATTCGTACTTCAATTCCTATAGTCTTTGCATGCTTTGGTTACAGTTTATCAGCTAATAACACGCCGTCGTTTCGAGCAGATGACTGTTCTTGAAGGTCAAAATATTCTTGTAACAATAAGTGGGCGAAAACGACGAATTCGTGTGTATTACTTGTCATGGCTCAAACAGAAAATTCTCCGAACTGAAGGTGTTAGCGGCATTGAGGTTTGTGCTTTATAATATTTTGCTTAATAGAAGTTCACTACACCCTCTATTTTAAAAAATCTTGATAGCATAACTTGAAAATTGTCAAATTAAATTTCTGACATTGTCATTCTCTGTTAAAAGATTTTGCAATAATTAAGTATTCATGAATATCGATGAATCTTGTAAATGAACTTGTAACATTCGTTGTCTGAATATTAAAAACACTTATTTTACTTCATGAATATTGTAATTGTAATTTTAGATTCTTAGAAATTTTCAGTTAGAAAAAAGAAATGGATGGGTAAATGTTGGTGATTTACAAGGTGCGGTTCATTTCAAGATTGTTCGTTATGAAAGAATCAAATTTCTGGTAGTCGGCCTTGAAAGTACTATTGAAATTTACGCTTGGGCTCCGAAGCCTTATCATAAATTTATGGCTTTCAAGGTTTAGTTTGATTTTTTTGCAGATTGCAAAAAGTTTTTTAATTTTATAACGTCTCTAGATCCTAATTAGATTAAATAAATATACCTCTGGGGGAATTTTAAATAGATTCAAAGTTGTAGTGGAGTAATTTTGGTACTAGCTTTGACAATAAATATTTCAAACATTTTAGTTTTGTGTCAATTTTAAGACTCTGCATCTTGTTGCGTGTGTCAATTTTATATTTTTTCATTGTTTCATTTGTGAGTCATTTCTTTCAGTTATAATATTTTGCAGGCATTTAGTCATCTTGTACATTTGCCACTGATAGTTGATTTGACTGTAGAAAAGAATTCTCGTCTGAAAGTATTGTATGGGTCACGAGAAGGATTTCATGCTATCGATTTGGATTCTGGTTCAGTTGACGACATTTATACACCTGCTAATGTATGTCCTTAATCATTAATTGCTTTTGAACAACTGTTTTCTGTTAATCGTAAATGCTGCATTGTCTCATCATAATGTAGTATTTACTTATAGCACCAAAAATATGCTGATATAAAAAATATCGTCGCAAGTGCTACTTACTATCATCCGAATATTATTTTGATGTTGTGTTGAAACATTGAATATTTTTTATGAAAGTCTTAATGGCACGCTAGCATCAATTTAGTTGAATATCCTTCTTTTATTATTTGAATCAAAACGATGCTAAGTAACATATCATTTGACTATAAAGATATGAAAGATATTTTTAGACAGAAACAGTTGTTACACCACACTGTATCGTGATTTTGCCCAATAGTAATGGGATGCAGTTATTGTTATGCTACAATAACGAAGGTGTGTACGTAAGTACTTATGGCAAAGCGACAAAAAGTGTATTTTTGCAATGGGGTGAAACTCCTTCTTCTGTTGGTAAGTTGATCGTACTTAATGGAAGTGATAAAAATTAGTATTCCTTACTCATTTCTATAGTCAATGTGACCATTATGATACTAGGATTAAAGACTAACGGTACAGTTCTGTAAGCAGCATAATGTCTTAATAATATATACTGAATCATTTTTCAATCTTAAAATTAAACTAGTTATCTTATAATGTTATTTACTACCAAATCAGACTTTAATTGAGTTATTATCTAAACATTCTTTAAGATCAAGAGTTGCAATTTAACCTTTTTCAGCATACATTTCAACGGGTCAGATAATGGGTTGGGGTAACAAAGCCATAGAAATTAGATCTGTTGATACTGGTCATCTTGATGGTGTTTTTATGCACAAGAAAGCACAAAAATTAAAATTTTTATGTGAACGCAACGACAAAGTAAGTTCTTAGTTGTATTTAGAATGTTGGAATTGTACATGGGACCTTGATAATATTCTCTACAAATAGAACAGTTTGGAGAAACTAAGTTTAGTCTATTTAGTGTATAATTCTTTTGAGAAATGGCCGTTAATATATGTCTTAAGTAAGGTTCATGTCGTAAGTTGTTGTATATTAAATAGCAATATATGCCTCAAGTACAAATATCAGGTTTTATTTTCATCAGAATTCTGAATGATTCTAATTTAGGTATTCTTCTCCAGTGCAAAAGGAGGTGGTGCATGCCAGATATACTTTATGACACTGAATAAACCAGGATTATCGAATTGGTGAAGAATTAGAAGTAGACTTTATTAACATTAATTTTTAGCAACATTTTCAAGTAAGCAAATTTTAGCTTTTTGCAGTTCGCCTGAGAAATTTGTTGCCTTTTCATGTCGTGGTTTGATCAATTTTCTAACTGACATCAGAATTATCTTTTGGTTTTGTACTTATGTAGCAAATATATATCCAGATTACAATATTTATTTATACTAAAGAAATCGATGCTATATATGAAGTCCTTTTCACTTTACATGGTGTATCTGCAATAAATACTACTATAGTTTATATCGTAGCCATTTCCGTTATTTTCAGTTTTCAAAATTTGAATTTTTGAATTAAATATAAAATTTATTTTGTTTTAAGTACGAAAAGAGCTCATGTTTTATCAATTTATCTCACTACTATAAATGCGTATAGATAGTGTTTACGTTGGTCATTTCATTCATTTTAATACAGATTAATTTGATGTAGGTATTGATGACAAACTTTCTATAATATATTCATCCATGTTAGCACTTTCTTTTTCGATGTGAGCATATCGAGATAATTATGCCATTATCGAAACAATTTCATTTCAAAACTTTGATTATGTATCACATTGATCAAATTTACATTTTTTATAGTAGCTTTCAGCCAGCTCTGTCATTCAATCATTCATCTTCTAAGCTTTTTTGCTCAAAATTATTCGAGTGAATTTCAAAAATGCTTGTCTTTCTTCTTCTTTCTTTCCGAGAATATCATTCAAGATTTATACTTCTCGTTTTACCTACTTTCATTTATACGTATATTTTTGTGATTATAATAATTAAGTCTGTATGTGATGCTAATATTTCATATGCATGCTTTGATATATTTAAATATCTTGTATCACTCAATATTAGTTCAATGACACATTGGCTAACTTCATTCAAAAAAAAAAAGATTTTACAATGCTTTGATTAATTCTCCTTTTTTTTAAAAAAAAGATTTTCAAATATTTGATTACAAAAACAATTTGAATAATTCTTGGAATTGGGTATTTTAGCTTTAGTATTAATGGAGATCTTGGTCTTGATTTATTTTATATTTTTATTTTTATTTTTATTTGCACTCTATTATCTGCCAGTTTATTGTTTTATTTGTTTATATTCGAAATTTTTTTACGCTCTATATAATGAGATATTATTTTGTACTCGTGTTGATTGATTCATGTTTTTCACATTAGGGTTATCAAATATTATATTTTATTTTGTATTATACATGTTGTTTTCACTATGGTATATCAAATATTACAATTCTTATTGAGGATTTTTCGTTGACATCGGAGTAAAACTTCTTGAAATATATTAGCATGCGTAAGCAAAAAAGCGAGAATTTGAAAATATGGTTATATTAAAGGGATAAATTTTTATTATTTGTGACATGGACTCTAATTATATCTCTTTAAAATATATAAAATGAATTCATAATTTAATTTGATATTGATCAGTAAAATTTCAAATGTATAGTTCAGGATCATCTTTATTCCATAGTGTAGCCTACAAAAATGTCTTCTTTCGAATCATTTCTATTCATGATGATAATAAGAATTGTAGATGAAGTTGCACACTACAAGTGTCGAGGCCGAAATTTCAAAAATAATTTAATTCATGGCAAGGAATAATTTGAATAGAAGTATTTAATCCAATTTTGTATCAGATTGCTACTTATACAGATGGTAAATTCTGGAATTCAGGTATGGCCATGAATTATTTGCATGATTTGTTATCAAGTGCTATTGGCTATCAAAATACGATACTACAGTTATCAAGTCTCAATAGCTTAGAAATGATAAGTCTTCTTTGCGCGCATCAGTGATCTGTTGATCATTGCAATATCAATGCTACAAATTTAAATAAAATTAATACAAAAAGAGGGAATGGGCTTATTCTTTTTACTTACTAAAGTGTGATAAACCTAATTGAGTCTGTAATATCATTTTCACTTATTACTTCATTTTATGAAAATTAACCGCAAAGTTGAGCGTTTTTAAATGTTCCTTACGTTCCAATAATTAAAAAACTTGTATAGGCAAGTGAAATTTTTCATAACTTAAAGTATTTCATCAAAATTTTAAAGATTTGCTGATCAAATTCTATCCATAAATGGCTAAAAATATCAAGTTAATATATATATATATATAAGAAATCTTGTGCTTACACTATCTGATGTGGGAGGAGGAGCAATACTTTTCGAAAATGGCAATTTTCCTTCCTTATAATAATAATAAGCAAATGTAGCAAGAGTTGCTGTTGTTACTGCAACTGCTATTAGCGCGCACAAACGGCTTGGATTTTTCTAAAAATTCTGATAAAACTTCATAAAATTAAAATTGAAATATGAAATTATTTCACTTGCAATACTTAAAAGATACCTTTAAACTATACATTTAATTATAATAATTTGCTTCAATTTAATCATATGATTGTTTTTTAATTAGAAAAACATAAATATCTACGTGTTGTACTTGCTAATTTTCCAAAATCGAAGATTTTTTGTCTAACTTACATATGATGACATTAGACCAATTGCTATGAATCTAAAAAGAGCAATGTAAATGCAAGCGCAAATAATCTGTTTTTAAATTGCATGCAAATATATTATGTATGTATATGTGAGTATTTTTAAAATATTCCGAAGTGTTTCTTTTTTTGGATTTTAATTATTTTAAATTGGTTTATTTTTATATTTTGTTCTATAATTTGACAAATAACAATTTTTAAATTTAAAATTATTCATTTTCTTTGCTTGCTTAAAGTTTTTATTCTCAAATTTCAATAATGAAAAGATTTTTTTGTGTTTTAGTTTTTATTATTCACTTTGTAATTATATTCTCATTACTTTGCTGGATACACAGATGTTTGTGCAATTGTTACAAATATTAAAAATAATAATAAAAGGAAGTATCAGCACTTTTACTCAATAACTTGTTTAATATACTGTCATGAAAAAATTTTTTCAAATTTTTTGAAAGAGTATTTTAAATATGTATGTAAAATAGTGATTGCTGATATGAAATAAATAATTAATTTGAACAACTTTAGTTATCAACACTACTCATTATTCATTTTCTTCATACCAAAATCGGATCATAAATAAGATCACTATTAAATCGATATAGAACTTTATCAATTTTCGTATAAATTCAGTAATTCAAATTTTATACTTTTTATGATAAAATTAAATCCTAATAAGACATTTACACTCGTAACAAACTACATTCATGATATTCCTAAAGTATTTTGAGGTTAATTCATAATCATCTTAAACATCAAATAATGCATTATATGTTTATCTAAAAAAAATTTTCAAGTAATTTTCTAGTTTACATTTACCAAAAGATTAATCATAAGCAGTCATACAGTGTTTTTCCGGAAATTTATTTTGTTTTTAGCAATAGCTAACAGTTACTAAAGGTATAAAATTTTATTCAAGAATGGTAATAAATGCTTGATAAGCACAGTAATAAATACAATGGGTTTATGATGATATAAAGTCCATGTTAGATGAATCTTAATCTAAATAATAGTAGTCAAATAATACTCACAAGCGTCGTTTAGATTAGATGGATTCATAATGACCTAAATAGATGATTGGGTTATAATAATTCAAGTAAGTTATGGAGTTGTAGTAATTTCACATGATATATAATTACCGAAGACAAGTAATTGAGTCTTGATGATCTAGAAATAAAGTGATGAAGTAATACTGTTGGCAAAAATATTTCATATTAAAATATTGTGTAAATATTTAATATTAAAGTATCGGTCTCAAAATGTATCAATTTTTCTTATCTAACTTTGAAAAGTGTTATAAATTTTAATTGAATGTGTTGCATACTTGGCCATCAATGATATTTATATCTGAGGAATGAGTTTTTCATCAAAAAATGATTGTAAATAATCAATTATGATTATTGCTTAATATATTGCATGTATAAATATGATCAAAGGTTGATTGTGTATACATTTTCGAAGCTAAAATATAAAATAAGCAGAAGTAACGTGTAAAGAGCACTCAAGCCAATTTATCGTTTGAATTTGTTATTTTTGTACAGTTTCTACTGTTACTTTACAAAATTATCCATCCATACTATTTTATTTTTTAATTTCGTATTATTGCTGTAAAACTGCATGATTTTATAATAAAAGACATGTACAATTCTTCCGTTTTTACTATATACTTTACACTTTAATCGAATACTTTTAGTCTTTAAAAAGTCTTACATTCTTTCAATTTGCATTACTTTGCATGAGAATAACTCTCACAATTGACTTATCTTGCGTTTTTTTTTTTGCGAAAATACATGCAGAGATAACTAATAATTTCAAGGAATTAAAATTTTTTGTCTGATTTTAATTACTTTGAAAGATTGTAATATTTTTTAAACAAACATATTAAAAATCACAAATAAAATCAAATGTAAATGTTGACTAAACTAAGTATAACTGATTGCAGACAACTCATTTTGAAAGTAGAAACTGATATTTTTTCACAATGATAAAAATTAATTTGCTGGAACTGCAAATGATCGCTCTCGTATACATTTTAATTTTGTTTCCTACTAAGAAAATGCTCAAAAGATTTCATAAATATCTCAAATTTTGTAAAATTTTTAAAGTATCAATCAATAAGTACTTATTACTTATTGTATTTTTAAGTTTTAATTAAAATATGTAAGTCATTCCATTCAGTTTGCATTTTCGATTTTTAAGTTTTATTTATTTAAGTTTTTATATTTGTTCTACGAAATTTGTTATAAATAAATGTAAGCAAATAAATAAATAAAATTAGAAATCAACAGAATCACAAGCTTATTTGGAATTGCTTCAGTTAAAATTTCTGACGGATATTCATGTTTTCAGTAAGAAATTATCTTCAATTAATTAAAGATTACTTACATTTAGAGCAAATTATCAAGTTTTGTGCTGAGTAATTTACTCAAAAACCCCTTTAGCAGTTTATTATAATCGTTGGTTGACCTTTATGCAGGTTTTCTTTTTTTTTTGACAAAAATGTCATTGAACAAAATTTTTGCAGAAGAAGAAATATCAAAAACAATTGATCATTTTATTTTAAAATGTGTTTTTTTTAATTATTTTTGAAAATTTATACAGTTAATCAAAGAAGTTTCATTTTATTGATAATATCACAAGCTTAATCAGATAAATTTTGAATCTGATATTTAAATTTTTAAAATTTAAAGTGTGATTTTTATATTTTTGAAAATGCATACAGTTGATTAAAGAAGTTTCACTTTATCAACAATGTCACAAGCTTTATTAAATAAATTTTGAATCTAATACTTAAATCTTAAAAATTTAAAAATTAAACAACAAGTGTCAAGATTTCATTGTAATACTTTAACAATTAACATATTTCTGCAAAAATAGCAATTAATTGAAGTTTTAAGAATTTGTATTTAAGTTTTCAGATTATTCAAGCAGAAAAAAATGTTTATTTAATTTTTAAAATAGGAAATGTAAGTGAAAAAAATAAAAAAAATTAATATAATCATAAAAAATTCTTATCAGTTTTAACTTTGATTTGTAAAAGAAAAACTTTCTATCATTTTTTCTACTCATTTTTGGCTATAAACGATGCTTGAGGCATTATGTTCATATAAAAACTTATTTGCTTTCAAAGTAAACTTATTCAATTAGTTTTTTTTCCAGAAATTCCTCGGAAAGCATCTTCGTCATGGTCTATATTGGAATTGCAAGTTTTTATTCATTTCTTTTAATTTAAGTAAAAAAATCAATAACTTACTGGAAAAAGTTATGCATAAATTTTAAATAAAAAAAATGAAGTATTAATTATTAATTCTAATCAAAAACTTTATATCTCTGAGTTTTTAGTGTAAAATTTTGCATACTTTATACACAAATACTTATAGAAATTTTCGACTTTTTAGGAAGAAAAGTAATTCTATGCTTTTATTACTTATTATAATGCGTGAGTTATTTTTGTTTTTTTACACAAATGCTATTTTATTACCAATTTTCTTTTTTTTTGGTTTTAATTTCAAATTTATTTATGAAATAAATAAAATTTAATTTAATTTAATTTAAGTTCACATTGGTTTATAGTAAAACAATTTTATTTTATATATACTTGTTTAGCACTTTTCTGTTTCATTTTTTGCCTCAAATATGACAGCCAATAGCAACTGTATTCAGTATATATATAAAAGTAATAACTGTAAGGAAACAAGTTATTTAAGTAATATCCTTTACAAAAGCTTAATGAATTCAATGCTTACTGCTTATGTTATGATTTAATCTATTTGTTTTATTATTTATTGCTATCAAATATTTGTAATTTCGCTTGAAAAGTAAGTTTTAAAAATATTAAAAATAAATTTTTGAGTCCTCAAAATAGCTGAAAAATACAACAAAATAATACTCATCCAAGTTTGAGTTATAACTCAATTATTAATAATTATTTGCAAAAAATTAAAGCGATAATAAATATGAAATATTAATAATAAGTATTTGAGGCTAGTGACGGATCGCACAGTCAACAAAATGCGAAATCGCAATCGGGTGCTAATATTTACGTATATTTGTTAACTTTAATGGCAGCTATGGGTGGATTATTGTTTGGATATGATACTGGCATTGTATCAGGGCAAGTTTTTTAAATGTTATTTCCCTGTTATTAATTAAATAAAATTAATTATTTATTTTTTATTTTAGAGTTATGTTATATTTACCACATAGCAAACAAATAAATGGTTTATCTACCATTTGGCAAGAAGTTATTATTAGCATAACATCCGGAATGGCGGGTATTGCTGCTTTAACTGCAGGTCATTACTATATTTTATTTTCATTATTATTACTTTTATTTAATTAAGATAATATAGTTAGAAGTTTAAGTAATTATTTTAATATTTTTTAATGTAAGTAATTTAATTAGAGTTATTTTGAACAGAGCTTTTACTATTTGTTTGAGAAATTAATTAATATTTCAACATTTTTTTGCTTTTTATTTTAGATTAATTAATAAAATAAATTTTATTTATCGAGCACTTATTTTTGTTTTGTTTTAAAAAATAAAATTTTATTTTAACAAATTCATTCTTTTTTAAAAACGATAAAAATTAACAAAAAAGTAAATTCTATTGCTTTTACGTGATTGATTTTTTATACTATTTTTTATTTTTTTCACTTTTATCGGTCAAAAGTTAGTTTTTTGTCAGGTAAAAGTAGTGATTACTTTGGTCGTCGTAAAGTTATTCTAGCAGCTAGTGCAGTTTTTATCACTGGTGCTATCATTTGTGGGGCTGCTTTTGGTCGATGGACATTACTGCTTGGACGTATTTTACTCGGAATTGCTATTGGTATAAGCTTGGGTTTTTTAATAATACAAAATTATTAAAACATAACAGTTCAAATATTGTTTATATTAAAATAAAAGCTATTAAAAATTGCAAATTCAAATTGCCTAAATACTTTTTGAAATGAAATTTACTTTTTAATTAAAAACTATGTATTAAAAAGTTTTGAATATTTATTATAAATGTGTTGGAGGTCAAGCATCAATCTGTATTTAATTCAATACACGCATAATTAATTTTTTATCAATTTTTGCACAATTAATTAATTTCAAAGTAAGTCGGAAATAACAATGCAAATTTTTTGTCTGAATGCTAATGAGCAATAAATATTTATCAAAAGTTAATCAACACAATTAAAAGCAAGTTTTGATTATTACAGGATTTGCTTCCATGGTCATTCCAGTATATATTAGTGAGGGAGCACCTGCAAAGGTAAGGGGCAAACTAGTTACAGTATATCAGTTTATGGTAGCATTTGGATTTACAGTTGCTAATGCTGTAGCTGCAATGCTTGCGCATTACGATCCCGAGAATATTGGTTGGCGATTAATGCTTGCCTTTGCTGCAATACCTGCTTTGGCACAAGTAATATTATCCATAATTTATTTTTGAATATTAAAACACTCTTTAGTGCAAATGATATTTTTTCATTTGTTTAATCTAATCAAAAAACTTCAAAAAAAATTTGTATGAACTTTTTTAATACTATCATTAAATCATAGCTACTTTAAGTTTATTGGCTTTTTATATCTACCTGAAACACCACGTTATTTAATCAATCATGGACGTGAAAATGAAGCTCAAAAAGTTTTACGTCGATTATATGGTAATGACATGAAGTGGATTGATTATGAAATGGCTGAAGTAACACGTGAAATGAAGCGCGAAGCAGAATTCCGTCAAAAAAATGATAAGTTTATATTAAATTCATTTTCGAAAAATTTGTAAATTCAAAGATATGGATTATTTTAATCAATTAAAAATAAATTAATAAGAGTAATTTTCTAAACTCAAAAATTAATAACTTACAAAGAATCATTGATGAGCTTAATTAATCTAATTATTTCAAATCATTTAAACATTGTATTAAAGCTACTTTCACAAATTATTATAGTTATTTAAAATTTAAAAAACAAAAATTATTCTAATGAGCAAGATTCATGATAAAATTTGCATAGCTTAATTACAACTTCTAACTTTTGCAGGAAACCAATTTATCCTTCAAAGAGTACTTACAACAGCTCATGTACGGAAAGCACTGATGCTTGGTTGTGCTTTGCAAATGTTTCAACAGCTTGCCGGCATTAATACTATTTTGTAATTATATTTTAGCTAAAGTTAAAAATACAAAATTATTGGTTATCAGTTTATAATGTTATCACTTAACACTCTAGAATATTACAAAAATAATCTGAAAATTTTGATAATTTTTTTTGATAAATTAAAAAAATCGTAATTAATGAAATTTATTTTTGTTTTAGTTTCAAAATTTATAAAAATATACTTAAAAGTTAGAAAATAATTACAGAAATATTAGCAAATTTTGATTTATTCAATAAATTATGTTAAAGGAAATTTTTTTTTTTAAATATTACACAAGCACTATTATTCGATCTGCTGGCGTACGTGATAAGATTACGACAATTTGGATCTCTTGCGGTGTTTCAAGTAAATCAAAAAAGTTGTAATTTTAAATAATAAAAAATCATTTACAATTGAGTACTTTTTCATTATTTTGAACAGGATTTTTAAAATTTTATTAAATATTATATTTAAAAATTTTTGTATTTTAGCTGTACAAGCTGTAGGAACAATATTTCCGTTACATTTGATTGAAAGACTTGGAAGACGTGTACTTTTACTGGGATCTCTAATTGGCGTTGTTATCACATTATGCATGATGGGTAGTGCATTCATTCTTATCAATCGTGATTCTGCACTGATTGATACAAGTAAAATATTTATAAACAGTTAATTAAGAAATAAAAAACACTTGAGCAAAATATTTTTAATGAATAAATTTATGCCGCTGACATAAATTTCTATTGATCACTTAAATATTATTGTAATTACGTAAAATATCATAAAAATACTGGAAAATTAAAATTTTATTCATAATTTTTTGAAGGATTCTGAAGTTGATTATAATTATTTGATGCTTTTTAGAGCAAGTGTATCAAGGTATTGACATGAATTCCACAGCTATTGATAGAACTTTGCTTGATACATGTGCTGAATACAGGTAAACCTTAAACTTATAATATAATATATAAATTAAAATAGTGAAATAAAATTAAAAAACTAGAAAATGATTAATTAAAGTTACCAAAATTTAGTTACAAAATATCGACTAATATAAAAAAAATATTGCCAGTAAAAGTAGATATTTTTTTGCCAAAATTTACTAATAAAACTTAGCTAATTTAAGTCTATGCTTCAATGTATGTATAATTTTTTAGCAATAATGCATATACAGAAAGCAATAGAATATATTGAAGATTTTAGAAATTGTGATGATTGTGTGACTTCGGAACATTGTGGATTTTGTTCTTCTTCATTATACAGTTTTGGACAATGCTTACCTGTGGATTCTGAAAATGTCTTACACTCACTTTATGGATATTGCAAGGTTTATGAAAATTTATACCTTCATGAATTATTGTTTTATGATAATAAATTTATCTGCACCAATGGGTATGAAATTTAAAATATTTATTTCCCATACAGTAACTTATAAGCCTTACAACACTGTTACTTTAGATGAATTGGACATTTTTGAATTCATATATGTAAATCACTATTTTTATGAAATTTTTTAAGGATGGTGCAATAAATGCTACAGATTACGCATATGCAGATAATTTTTGCAAAACGCAATTTACTGCATTACCAATTGTGATTATGGTGCTTTACATATTAGTATACTCTTTTGGTCAGTAATTTCCATTGACTTACCTGAGCTATGGCAATGATTAGCTCAAAGGAGAATAAAGCTAATCTATTCCAGGTATGGGTCCGATTCCATGGGTTTTCAATGCTGAAGTATATCCGATTTGGGCAAGGAGTACATGCGTTGCAATGTCCACTTTTACCAACTGGACTTTCAATCTTGTCATGTCATTAACATATCTCACTTTAAGTCAAGCAATCACAAAATACGGTTGGTCAAGATAGTTTTGCAGTTATCTTAACAGTAACATCTCATTAACCTTACTGTTCTCTCATTTGCAGATTTTTTTTTTCTAAATTTTGGAAATTCACTAATTAAACTAAATTATTTACAATAAATCTTTGTGATAAAAACAAAGTTTCAATTTCTTCTTGCAATACCATTTCAGGAGCTTTCTTTTTATATGCTGGTATCTCATTTACCGGTCTTATTATGTTTTACTTCTTCATGCCAGAAACACGTGGAACACGTATTGAGGATATGGAACTATTGTTTATGAGTGAAAAAGCAAGAAAAAAGCATATGATCCTTTTAGAGAAGGAAAAAAATCAAACAACTAATACTTTTACGGTTCCTTAGGATTAGTTTAGTATGAACAGAGTTGATAATAATGTACCACTAAATATATCTTGTCAAGTTTGAACCATAAGCAAATGATAATCGGTCGATTTCCCATAGATAATTAATAGCTTGCATGCTCCACCTTCGATGAGCTATTGCCCGATGATTGAGAATGAAAAATTATCCTAAATATTCTCAACCTAATAAACATGTTCTTCTTGCTGAAAACAACAACTAATCCTGCACTACTTGGGAGAAGCAATACTTCTGTACTACCTGATATTTTCAGCTTTATGTCTAAAATTGTTTATTAGCATTGTTTTACTGAAAGTCATTCTCACCTCACACGAAGTCTATAAGACAAGAAAAATTTTATTCATCACTATATTTTAAAACCAAATAACCATGTCCCAAATTAACAAAATGATAACAACACACACGACAATGTAACAAAAAGCAAACAGCAGCTGCGAAGCTTTTTACATAAACCGAGATGATACAATTTAATGATAAAAATTCGCCAGCAATCAGAAAAGTACAGAAACAAAGAATGAAAAGTTGTATACGTACTACAACGTTGCATCTGAAATCGGCTAGAAAACAGAGAAAAAATTAAAATTAAAGAATTCAAAATATTTGAATAATCTGTACTAATAAAAAGTAATCATTTATTTCTGACTATTTGAAGATTCCTTCTCTCGCTACACATTCCAAACGTCTTAAACAATAAGGAAACCATCCACATCTTAACTAACACGACAAAGGAACAAAGCTTTGCAATTACCCAATACTGTCTGTAAAGATTTGAAGAGTCAAGATAAAGAAAACTGAAATGTCAAAAACCGTGCAATTCAATAAATCTATCTACAGAAAAAAGTTATTAAATGAAAAAAATTTATTGCTCACGACAAAAAAACCTTCAAATTATTTCAAAATATTTATCACTCAATTCACAAGTTTTCACTCTATAAACTATTTTTGAAAAAGAATATTCAATAATTTGAAAACGCATCATTAACAATGAGCAAATCTCACAGAAACCACATATTACCTACCCTAAACATAACTGAAACTTATTTAAAACTCGCAGATAATCGCTTCTATAATACTTACGTACATTTCTTATTTTCAAGTTATCATCAAACTGTTACTAAAAAATTTATTATAAACTTGTCTCTAGTTAACTTTATAAGCAATAAAAAAGATATGAGCAGAAAATTTACGATTTTCGAAACATATTTTTATCTAAATAACTATTAACTACAACTAAAAATCAAACTAGTGAATAAGAAGCCAATCCTCATCAAACTAAATATAATTTCTTAACATGATACGAATTATGGGTGCACAAGTAAGATACATCCTTTTAAAAATTCTGGTGTGACCTTGTTTTTCCCAAGTTTTTAAAGCGAACACTCTTTTTAGCTATGGAAATTCATCCTCTCTAAGTGCAGTTAAGTTTTTACAAAACTAGATGACATCATGATAGAGAAACTTTATCAGAATTCCTTTGTCTAACCACATTCTACACAAATTTATGTTACAAATCTTCGAAATGTTTTCGAAATATAAAATTTTGGAAAAGTTGATAGATAAGTAAATTTATCTATCAACTTTTCCAAAATTGATAAAAGACATACATGAATAAAAGAACAAATATACAACCTACACAAAATATTATTGAATCTTCACTGAGTCTTTTTTCAATTATCCGTAATGTTGTAGATGATAAACCAAGCTGAAAAAAAAGCTAATAAATAGTGAGCAAGACACAGGAAAAAAATAACTCTTCAAATCTCTAATATTTGTTTTTCACATAAACGACGATCTACTACAAGAGCGAAGGTCAACTTTCATCAACAAAGAAAAAAATTTGAACTGTTGTTTATATTAAAAAAATGCGAACAATGTACACTGTTTGCAATAAAAATTACCGTGACTCCTACATCCAAAATTTTACGCTTGATTCCTCTTAGACCCATTCCTTGCAAACGGATTTGTTCCAAGATCGCGCTACTATGGCCGATAAGTTCATCCATTGCACTATGCGAGGATTTCAAACGATCATGCAGCACTAACTCATTATCTTCAATTTGAACAAGCGTGGTTTCATTCGGACGAAATCTATAGCAGAGGACTGATTACATGCCTGCTATAAACCATGTCAAGTATTTCATAAAACTGCCCGAAAATCAAATAAAGCAAGAATTTACAAAATTGAAAAAAAATGAACAAATGAAGCGAGTGACTTCTTAGTAATTTCAATTTGTACTGAATTTTTTATACTTTATTGTACCAAGAAAGAAAAATAATTCAAGAAAGTTGACAGCAAATAAAAATTTGTTAAAAACAATGAGAGGTTCAATTTTTTGAAAATTATTACAATTATGTAACACACCTTTGAGTAAGAAGTTCTTCCCGTTCTGCAATAGCCCTCCAATGATTAGTCAATCGCATATGCATACTATTAACCGCCATTTGTAGCGATTCATAATCAAATCTTAACTGATCTACTTTGTATTTTACAGTACGTCGACGATGTGGCGGTTCTTTTCTAGTAAGTACATCCAAACGCTGACAATTTTCATCGATTTGCCTGAATTTTAATTTTTTTACTTACCTAAACATTTCTCCTCCACATTTGGACAAACACAATTTGACACAATTGACCACTTATAAAAACAAACAAAGACAAAAATATAACAAAAAGCAAACAAAAATCAATCTTAAAAAGCATATAAATCTGGACCCTTCACATTTCAATGTACACTAAGTACAAGTTTGTTACTGGCTATGATTTACTATCACTTTAGTCCCCAACCTCCAACAAATCGATTGAACTCAGCTGTCCAAGCATTATTTTGCGATGACCTCATTAGTTCGTTATTTCCAATCATTACAATACATACCAGCTGAAATGTGCCACAGTTTGGTGAAAAGAAAGACAGCGAAACAACTAGATGAACAACAAAAACATTGACTTACTTTAACCGTTGATAAATGCTGGGAATTATTTTCTGTGCGTCATTTTCATTTTTCGCGCCTTCTAAAATTCCGAGATCAAGTTGCACTCGCTGTACCAATAAGTTTGTCTCTTGATACAAACTTTCCATACCATGAGTCGAATCAATGCGCAGTGTAATTCTGTAAAACGATGAGGATTAACAGATCCACAGAAACTAACTTTATCGATACGCAATTCGATGGTTAAACACTGTTATGCTTCATCATCACCAAACTGCATAGATAAAATTATTTAGACAAGCAATAAAATGGTTTACTGTGAAAAAAGTGTAGGTTGATACATAATCAAATCAAGATGTGCACCTAAAATTGTTTGGAAAATACAATGCAAATCAAATGTCACAAGTGTAGAAAAACAGTTTGTTTATACAATATCACTGCATTAACAGTGATAAATGAATTTTTGGAAAAAAATACACACACAAATGATCAAAATAGTGCACAATCAAACAACAATAATAATCGCAGAATCTGGTAACTACATATTTAAGCACTGAATTCCTAATTACAAGTACACAAAGTTCCTAATATAAACGTACTGAAATTTCTACCATGGATATAAATTATCAGAACTATGTGAAAAATATACCAACACAGACAATAATATTTTTAATTCATTTAATTTATAAAAGAATTTGGATAAGTTGCACAAATGCAGTATTGTACGATGATCAGGAACCAATTGAAAAAAATTATCCCAAATTAGATGTATCAATCGATTGATTAAATAAATTTACATAAAGTGGGTGATTGGTCGAATTTATGTATTGTGGTACTAGTAAACGGATTACCTAGGTAAGTTTACTTTCTTGAAGTTAACGGGTGAATCAGTTCCAGTTTTATCTCAAATAACCGAGTTAATTTAAGTTAAAGTATTGAGCTGAAGTATGATCCAAATTATATATTTACTTTTCGTCGACTTTTTACTTTTTATTTATGCATTTAGCACAATCGCTATAAGAGACTGCTGCTTTTCAGTCATATTTGCTTTTTCTAATAATTATGAGTTCGTTATTTTTTATTTAAACTTAATTTTTTAAAACTATATTTAGTGAAACTTAATCTTTTAAAAAAAATGAGGATTTGCTGTATATTTTTACAAATCTAATTGCTAATTTGATAAACATGCTTTTAGTGATAATATTTTTTATTGTAGCTTTTTTTTTTCTTAGGAATAAAAAATGTTATTTTCAGAATCCGGAAGAATCTGGTAGGAAACTGGTCTTTCACTTGTTCATTAATTTCACGATGAAAATAACTGTAACATGCAATTTAACTGGAGATGATGCGTTTTTAATAGAAATAACTGCTGATATGCTGATAGAAAATTTCTTATTGGTTTGCCGATCAGAAATTCCTTCATTACAAAACATACCAGTATGGCAAATGAGCATACTTCATAATGGATATACAACTATTATGGATGGAGAAAATTTGAAGAAAACTATTCGTGTAAATGTTTTCATCAAATTTATGTTCTGTAAATGGATGCTTCATTACTGTGAATTGCCTGAATTATTTGAAGTTTCATATGTTCCAAAATCAGTTACTGAAAATAATTGTAAAAATATTTCCGAACTGGAACCAATTTTCTCATCAAACATAATTATTTAGTGCATAACTAAGTATTTCGATTTTCGATTAGTTTATCTTGTAAATTCATATCGCACCTTCACTTAACTTTTTTATTTGATACAGGATATGCATATATTTGACAATGATATAGTTATGGTTTCGGCTACCAAACCAGTAGCATCTTCTAGTGAAGCAGAAAGTTCAAGTAATTTAATCGCCGATTTAGTTAGATCAATCAAAGTACCAGGAGACAAAAAACCGTTGAGAGACATGGTATTGCGTCCTTCAGATATCAGAATGGTTATTTTTCATCTTTAATTCTATAGCTTTGCTTCTGAAAGTTATAATTTCGCATAATCTTACTAAAGATTTAAAACTTTCAGAAATTTTTCGTTCTACTTTGTTATAAACCAATTTTTTAAATGAACTCTTGCTTATTAGAAATATCAAGAAACCACGATATGGTCCTTTTTAATAGATGTTTTCTTAATGAAATTGTGCATATCATTTATTGGATTTGAGATTTGAGACGATAGAGTAGTAATAGTGTTATTGAACTTGTAGATGTTAAGGATATTATATTATTTGTTTCTGCTTTCTTATGCACAACTTTATTTTGCAGCTTCGTTTTTTGTTTGATTCGCTAAGAGCCAATGATCAAGCTCGTGATCGCTATCGCGTAATCATGCCGGATTTGGTTGCTGCAGCTGAGCAGAATAATTTTGGTAATCGGTATTTACAGTGTTATTACTTATGCTTGTCGAGAGTTTAGTTGTTCTTTTTCTAGTATTTCTTTATGCGCATATGAGATCTGTGGCTGAAGACAGTGCAAAAAATGTAAAATAAGAAGTGCAAAATCATGCCTATTTTATTTAATGCTGTAGTTGTAATCCGAAAACATTACTGCACAAGACGGACAGAGAAAAAAATTTCTTTTTTCGGAATAGGCATGCTTTTTATTATTTTTCCATTAAAGATGCTGGGTTTGCATTTCAAATAGAATGATGCTTCGTTTTATGTTGTATGTGAGAGTTTTGAATGTTAGGAGCATTAGAGCGTTTGGACATTCTTGTAATTTAAGTTAATTTGTATAATGTTTTTTCCAAAACTGGACATTATCTCATTTCTATAGATGCTTTCACGAAGCAGTATCTTGTTGATCGAGAAGAGTCTCTGTCTAAGGCTAATATGGTGTTTGATCCAACGAATGTGGAAGGGCAGCGAATGATTGCTGAACAAATTCAGCGTGACAATATTGATTTTTCTCATAGATTTGCTATGGAACATATGCCAGAAGTCTATATTCCTGTAACAATGCTGTACATCAATATGAAAATAAATGGAGTTGAAGTGCAAGCACTTGTCGATTCAGGTTTGCTGTCAAAGAATAGGATGAAAGTTTTTTGTGTAATAAACTGAAACCGGAAGGTTTCGACTCATCGACGAGTTCATTTAATCAAGCAAAGTTTTTTTTGTAGCTTGGGTGGTGGTTATTGTTTTTATCTTAAAAATTTTCTCTCAAAATTGCAGTTTTACGAAGTTGAGATTTTTGAATTTATTGACGAGTTATATTATTAGGTGCGCAGGTGTCTATATTATCTGATAATGTTGCACAACGTTGTAATTTGATGCGTCTAGTAGATGAAAGATTCAAAGGAACACTGTCTGGCGTTGGTGGTTTACGAGAAATTTTGGGGAAAATACATGCATGTAATTACCAATTTTTATTTTATTATATCTTCATAATTTGGCACAAAAATATGCACATATCTCTGCAAAATTTCAGGTCAAGTGCAAATTGAACAACAATTTTTCCCGTGTTCTTTTAATGTTTTAGTGAACCACCACGTAGAAGTTTTGTTAGGCCTTGATATCCTGAAACGCCACAAATGTAGTATAGATTTGGAGAAAAACTGCTTGAGGTATGCAAAAGTCAATTAGATAATCACGAGTTTATTTAAGCATATTACGCTTCCGAATTCAGCAAAATGTCCGAAAGTATCATGTTGAACATTATGTACGAAATGAGAATTTTATAGATTTGGTACACTGGCAACAACATGTTTTTTACCGGAGTCGGAGATTACACGTACTGTTACTCCATCACTGCTAACCAATCCCTCTGGTTTGCAGCGTTAGTTTCATTGAAACTTTTCGAATATGATGCTGACACACTAAAATTTCGTTTTTAGAAATGTTTTAGAATCGTGTGCCACTAATCGTGTTCGTTCATCAAATAGAAAAAAAAATTTCTATTGCAGCTGAAGTTGACAGTGCGAATTTGGCTTCTCTAATGGCACTTGGTTTTGAGGAAGCAGCAGCTCGTGCGATGCTTTTAGAATGTGCAAATGATGTTGAAATGGCTGCTGCTAATCTGCTCGCCAAACAATCTTCCCCATAAATTTCTGAATAAGGGGCTTCTTTAATTTCAAAATCACTTATATCAGATCAAGGAACTGCCTTTCTCACATAAGAGCTTTCTTAACTTCAAAATCACTTGTCCAAGAATCTTTTGGAACCTATACATCCCAGTTACAGTCGTAAGCATTCTTTTTGTAATTGACCAATCACATATGCATACAGCAGCCTCTTTGAATTAATGTGCAGATTAATTTTGTGAACTCAGTTCTGACCCTGCATCTTTCTTTTTAAATCACTAAATGTCAGTAGTGAATTCTAAAGACTTCTTACATGCATTTATAGGAAAAGTATAGATACCTACAACAAATTTTTTGAATAGGAATGTATGACATAAATATATGGATTTTGTTGATTTTTCCATCTCGAAAAACTGTGAGATTGTCTTGTAGGGCTGATTACACGTTATTTACATCTCTAATTACAAGTGTAATTCTAATTTAATGTATGGATACCTAGAATTGTGGCTCTTTTAACTGCAATGATTTTTAAGTGACACTGCATTATATCGTGATTGAAACGATTCAAAAGAGATTTTTATGCTCGTTAAGTACTTCTAACAAGACATGAAGATCATTAAACATCATACCAAAGAAAAAACTCTAAACGAGAAAAGAAATGTGGTGGCATCGCAAATGCATTCATATTCAGAAACAAATGACCATCTCAGAAGCTTTTTACATACGTGAAGACACAGCCAGTGAAAACATTGTTTGTGACATACAACACACCTTTTACGGACTCATCAAATTTTCAGTAAAAAAAGAGTAATACTCCGGTTTAGACGAACCGGGCTTGCGACAACCGGAAAATGCAGTGCGACATAAAAAATTAAAACAATTATGATTAAATGCGGGATAACACTTGATTCCATAACGAAAATGAACCTAAATACAGGAAGACGGGACAACGTTCTCACTATTTTACAAACTACATGATCGAGGTTTAAAGTTAATTTAGAGTTATTAAACCATGCTTTAATACAATTCTCAAATATACACTAATCATCTGGTTCAGGACCACTACAAATGAAGAATAAAATACTCATAGCTTCTTAATAACAGGCGAAATAACACGTCAATAAAATCAACAGAACATTGCTCTTAAGACCAAATTATAAAAACCAACGAATGCCTAAAAGATGGCAAAAACAAAACAGGAGCAAATTAAGCAAATAATGGTCATACCTGTTAGAAATCCGATCAAGCAACGGAATTTCTGTCCATAATACATTTGGAAAACATGTTTAAAACTGAAAAAAAAGCACTGAATTGCTTTTCTTATAATTCATGATATATTATTTTTTGGCTTGGTTCAGTTTGTTATTTAAACGAATATTTTCGGCACGTAGTTTCAGATTTTCTGTTTGTAAACCACGAACAGTACCTTCAAGCTTAACGATTTCTTCATCCTTCGCACTTATTACCTTACCGAATGCTGCAATCTGATCTTGAAGCTGTATGATTTGCTGGTCTTTCATTTTTTGTTGTTCCTTCGCTTTTGTACGTGATCGCCTAACAGCATCATTATTCTTTTCACGTTTAATTCGATACAAAGGATTTTTCTTTTCAGCCTAAATGCACAATGCGTTCGACAACCGAAATGAAGAACAACTGAAGATTTAGCAATGAAAAAGAATCAGCAGCAAATATGGAAATTGTGATAAAAAGATTGTTGTTCTATTGGCTATAAAATTAACTACTATTCACAAAAACTGTGAGCTGCTTCATTTTACGCACAGTAAGAATATAAATGTATACTTCGGGCTTCCATGAATATTTTCTTGGCTTGATAGTCGGTATGAAAGTCAATTCAGCAGGTTCTGATGGATTCTTCAGTGATTTTGGTAAAAATTCAACTGTTTCTTCTTTGAGACATACTTTTGTTTTCGGTGGCTCCAATTTTGCTTTAAAACTGGATATTTCAGGTACTTGACCGAATCTATCGTCATCGTTAATTTCAACTTTCATGTTTTCAACTGGTATACGTGAGGTACCTAGGGGATCTATACTGTATAGGTTGGAAAGCATGAATTTAAAATAAGAGTTTCAAATTTAGGATATACTGCCTAAAAAATAAGACTTTGCAGACATATCACTCTTTAATTTCAAATAGCTCCAAAATTTGACATGTCTATATCTAAGAAATATCTGATTAACTTATTTTTTTTTCATTGCTGCAGAAACACATGGTGCCAACGTACTAGTATTCTTGAATGCTCTAAAATAAATCAAAAACTAACCAATTGATGTCAAATTCGTGTAGTTTATAGGTGATGTATGAGCAGATCCTCGGAACTGACTGTCGCACTCAATGCATTCAAACGTATTATCTTTATCAGTAACGATTTCAATTTTATCGTCGATATCATAGACACCACGAAGATCTTTCAAGTATGGAGTCAGATCTATGCTCTGATCCATAAAATCAAAGCCATCTTGTTCTTGGAGTTGTTGGCAAAGCAATAATGAATCCTACAATACAGAAAAGAACAAATTGTATAATTAATGAAATTTGAACAAAAAAATTATGAATAGCAAGCTAACCTGTCGATCAAAAAGTGGCTGTGTGACCCCGTCAATGAAACTTTTCAAGCAATTTCTGCCTTCTAATGCTAAGATATTAGCATTGAATAGACTTTCTATGCCTTCATTACTTCTAGGCAATCTCGATGTTTCTCTTCCATTGTCAATAAACTGCCACATATTCGCATGTCGTGTCCTTTCCAACTGAAACAAAAAAAAAATATCAATCACATAATTAGGCCTAAAATCATTTCAGCAAACGAGAAAATAAGTCGTGGACCGCAATCATATAAGTCATCTTTAGCTTTCATCTGACCTATTAAATCATTTGTCACATCATCTCACTATAGCCCACCATCGGCTCCATGTGATTATTAAATAATTAATAATAACCTAGTCACCACCTGATTGATCATCATCCTCACGTGACCTGCCACTTGATAATCGCGATCTTACATGACCTAAGAAATGATAGATAATGACCTCAGCTTGACCTAACCAACCCCACCAGAATGCGCTAATGACAACCCTTGACCAAACTGCCCAAGTATGCACTATTACCACTTCCTTACCCAGACAGTAAAAGACTCTCGTAGCTTGTGCATGAGTCACGTTTTATAATCAAGTCGTTTTAAGACCTGTGAGATATATAGCTTTAGTCTAAAAAATAAGTCATACAACGATTGATTGCATGATTACACAGAATTCAAGGCAATTTGTACAGTTTTAGCGGGAAATCTCCGTATTCGAACTTGAAGTTAATTCGATTGAAAATTAAAGGTTTTTTATTTATTTACATGGTTTGCATGAATCACAGTCTTCTTGTTTTTTTTAGAAACTTTTCTAATTGGTCATATCTAGTTTTGTGATCAATAATGAGCTTTAAACTCATAGAATATATTGTTTTCTCTTCGTTCATGGCATGCAACGCGTATGCAACTTGGAAATGAATATAAACTAAATTTAATTTTTGTGGCATTTGCGGAAGTAGTTATCTGTTGTAGTATTTCAATGAATACGAATAATTTTTGACTAAAATGGATAGGAAGCGGTACACGAAATACAATAAGAGGTATTTTCCTACGGCCGAGGTATGCAACTTTGTTTTTTAAACTAAAACTGTACAACTTTATTGTCAATATTTGTACAATAGAAAAGTAACAACTTTTAATAACTAACTGTTCAAGTACTTTTTGGTCACTTAATTGAAAACTGTTGATTGAATGTTTATACAAAATTATTTGACAGAAATAATGCGTGTTCTTTTTACTTTCAAGCAGTTCTGAATTTAATAGCTATTAATAAATAATATTTCAAATTACGATTGTATTGGCCACGTTTTCAAACATTGCTTAATGTATAGCTCAAATGCTGCTTCATGATTGCTGTATAATATGCAAGAATAAAAATGTAGCTGACTATACCACAATAATGACTTGCTCTGTGAGTAACAAATTTTTTATTCTTCTCAGAAAAAATTTCGTCGTGAAGAACTTCCAGTGGATAGAGTTCGTTCACAGCTGGCTAAAGTAATAAGTGAGAATGGCATAACAATAATTGTTGGTGAAACTGGAAGTGGTAAAAGTACTCAAATACCTCAGGTAAAACAAAATATATGGAATCTGCTTTTGGTATTTCTTTCTAGATCCGGTTTTAACAGATATTCAGTTACTGCTTTCATGCAGATTTTTTCTGAATCCTGCATTGATATGAATTAAATAAGAATATATATACATTGTAAAACTGAATTTGTTTGTATTTTGTGATAGAAAATATGAAATCAGTTTATAATTTTTTTTTCTATAGATTGTAAAATCACCATATTTCACTTATTTTTGAATAGAATGTAAAGCAATAAACGTTTTGTATTTCAGTCAAGTGTACAGCATGATCACAATTTATTCTGTTTTGCAAACTAAAACATTTTAGATTTGTTATGAAGGTTTAACTGATCATAGTATTCTGGCTGTAACTCAGCCAAGGCGTGTCGCAGCCATTGCACTTGCTAGACGGGTGGCTGTAGAAATGAATTCGAATCTTGGTGAAGTGGTAAAAATTTTCATTCTTTAGAAGTTTTTCATTATTATTCAATTTTAAAAATTGTATTAGTGACCTAAAGTTATATTAAAGTTTTTACTTAAGGCAGCTTTGGAAGTTGTCATATAAAATTTATGTACTGCTGGTAAGTTAATTTCTGTAGCTAGTGAAGAATGGTGGACGAATTTCAGGTTGCTTATAAAGTAAGGTTTGAAAATACAGCTAGTGAAGAAACTAAAATTATTTATGGCACTGATGGTATTTTTTTACGTGAAGCATTTTATGATTCACTGTTTTCTCGTTATTCAATTTTCATCGTTGATGAGGCTCACGAACGTTCCATTCATACTGATATTTTATTATATATATTGAAACTTTGTTACAAGCAACGGCTAAATACATCTAATCCGTTGAAGGTATGTTAGAATTCACTTTTAATTGTTAGTTTTTCGTTTTTTTTCATGTGCAATTGAAATTAGTTTTGTTACGTTAAGAAATTTGACTTCTAGCAATTTCTTGAGAATTTTTCAAGTATTAACTTCAGATTTCAGATAGTGATTATGTCGGCCACTTTGGAAACAAATGTATTTTCGGAATATTTTGATAATGCCCCTGTTTTTAGCGTTAAAGGAAGGACATACCCTGTAGAGGTGAAAATTTATTATTTTCCATTCAATTTTTCTGTAAAGAAGCATCGTCTCGTTTTTTATGCAGAATCACAAGATTCTTTCTCTTTAAAGGATAGTTTGTGGTCATACAGAACTCTGAGAGTCAAAATTCAAATTTTATGGTGTGCGCACACACTGTTCTCTGTAAAATGTGCTGCATTTGAAATGAGTCGCTTTTGCAGATTTTTTATGCTAATTTGTTGGACAAAAACGATGACGATTATGTTTTTAATGTGCTGACAACGGTTTTACAAATCCATCGTTCTGAACCGTTGAGGTTTGAACAATATTTTTGCTTGATTTGTGACATTTTGTTTTTTGCATTGACTTTTCGGAAATGAACGAATTTATCAGAATAATGTTCTATTTCTGTGATCTCCTTGTCACTGTTTAGAAACTGTGGTTCACGTGAAGTCTGACTCTAATTTAACGAGTTTTTTGCAGCTCTGATATATTGGTTTTTCTGACTGGACAAGAAGAAATAGAAACTGCATGCAAAAAAGTCCTGGAAGCTTCAAGGCTTCTAAGTGGTGGTATTGTAGCTCTTCCACTCTATGCAGGTCTTCCGCCATCTTTACAAATGAGAGTTTTCGAACCAACAGAATCAGTGGTAATATTTTTATGTAGTTGAAAATTGCGGATATTAATTCGTTTGACTATATTTATTCTCCCTTCGAAAAATTGTAAAATTTTCACGCAGTAATGTCAACTGCTCCATACTGAACTTTTGTAATCTTTTTGAATTATGATCACTCTCTAATATTTCAAGGAAACGCAGGCAAAACGACCACTAAAGTTTTCAGAATACTCGCAAGATAATTTTTGCTACTAATATTGCGGAAACATCCATCACTATCCCTGGTATACGAATAATTATTGACAGTGGAAAGATTAAAGTAAAGTAAGCCTTTATATCACTTCGGTACTTTTTATATAATCATTCTAAGCACAGTATTGTTTTTTATTTGTTGTGGCATTTTCTGCAATTTGATATATTTTTCTTCTGTAAAGGAACATGTTATTAAGTATCTCCACATTCAATATTACTAAAAATTGGGAGTCATGGTTTTCCTTTTTCTATGTTCTCAATATGATCTTGTTTTTTTCGTTTAACATTTAATTATTTGAAGAAGATTTCGCAATTTCAGTGTTTTTTCAGAACCTTTGTATCAGATCGTCGTATTGATATTCTTCGTGTAGAAAATATCTCGCAGTCTTCAGCTACTCAACGAGCTGGTCGTGCGGGTCGCGAAGCACCTGGGAAATGTTATCGGTTATATTCAGAAGAGCATTTTAATTCTCTGTGTAGAACTACGGTCCCAGAAATTTTACGGTCAAATTTAGCAGTGGTACGTTTTAATGTCAGTTTCAGTTTTCAGTCCTCAAATACGGTTGTTCAAAAGAATACATGTTTTAACAGTATTTTACCTAGTCTAAATTACTTTATTTTTTTGATCTATATCTTTATTGTTTTGAAAATTAGTTAGCAAACCCGAATAACAAAAAAATATAGATAAAATATGTGACTTCAGGTTTTACTTGAGTTATTTCGCATTGGTTTACGACGAACAAAGTCACTTGCTTTGATTTCAAATCCTAAAGAAGAAGCACTCGAAGCTGCTGAGAAACATTTACGTTTATTAGATGCTTTAAAACAGCCAAATAAAAGAGGTAAATTGCAGCTGACTGAAATGGGTACAAAACTCTCTTCTTTTCCAGTTGATCCAGCTTTTGCACGGTAATTATTATTTCACCTTTTAATTACTTTTCATTTGTTTAATCTTCCTTTATTTTGGTTTTCGTATTGAGCATCATAATCAGCCGTTGTTTGATTACAGTGCTCTGATAGCAGCATCGCAAAATGAGTGTTTGGAAGAAGTCTTAACGATAGTTGCATTTATGTCTGCTGATTCCGTTTTTATTGGTTCAGCACTCGATCGTGATCAAACAAGTACATCAAAGCGTAAGTTTGAAGCACCTGAAGGTGATCACTGCACTCTATTAAATGTTTATCGAGGGTATCGTTTAGCACGAAAGGAGAAAAAATCAAAGGTGATTTCAATATTTCTGTTTTATTTTTCACTTTTAGTTTACCAATTTGTTTCATGTTATTTTCTCATTGTAATAGAATTAATAGTTCATGAAGCACAAGATAGTTTATTCCAAAATCGTAATTTTTAATTATTTGTTTTTCAGCTATCATAGTCAAAGTCACATATAGGATATAGATGTGATACAGAGTGAATATTAATGTGCTCTTCAGGTGTGGTGTGAAGCAAATTTCGTTCATGAACGTATACTTGACATAGTTTTCAAAATTCGAGCCCAATTGCGTGATATTTGTTCAAAATATGCATTGATATTTCGTTCCTGTGGTTCCAATACAGAAAAACTCAGGTTTTCTGAAATTTATTTGTGGGACAAACTGAACATAGAAAAATTGTTATAAGTAATAAATAATTATAATCCCGCTATCACCTTAAGAGTTGGAGATAAATTAAACCTTAATACTTTGATTTAAGTCAGAGTTCACTATCTGTAGAATGTTGAAAATCTCAAACTTATTTAGAAAGGCACTTTGTCAAGGACTTTTTATGAACACTTGTGTTTATGAGAGATCTCAGGACCGTTACAAGTTATTAATATCACCCGCAACATCATTAAAAATACATCCTTCTTCTTGTTTATCTCGTTCAAGACCGACAGCTTTTATTTTCACAGATCTCGTTCGAACAAATGATTTATATGCTCGGTAATCTTCTTATCTTTTTCAAGCGATCATCGTAACAGCTCTTTATTGCTGCTTTGTTGTTTTGATTAAATTTTCACAGTGATATTGCGAAGCAATTTTTATAATATAGAGATCTCCGTTTGTGAACTATTTTTCTGCATCATGATCAATCTTTCACCATGAAAAATTTTTTTATCTTCAGGGATATCACGGTCATTGATCTCGAGTGGGCAAAAGAGCTTCTTGAATCAAAGAAAGAAGTGCTCAAAATGTTTTCGCAATAAATCTTTTGAATTTTTCACGGAAATTTCATGTGAAATAACTGGTTTCTTTGGTGTATTTTTGCTTTCAAGTAGTATCGTATAGCAGGAAAAATTTGATTGTCGTTTATGCGACATAGAAAGAATTTTTTTGTATAATTTAATAATAGCAGTAGAAGAGTTATGACACATATATTTGCTAAACATCGTCGATTAGCTTTAGGGAAAGGTGTGAGCAAAAAATTTTGGCTATGAAAACAAAATGTGTCATCTTGGTATTTAACTATTGTTGCAATGATTATTGTAATATGTATCTGGATATTTTTAACGGGGATTCTTCAAATTGAAAAATTTGAAATGTAGCTCAACTAAAATTTGTCATTAAACTGGTCGTTTTTATCATTATTAGCTGTTTTTTGAAAAAAAAATTTCAACACTGATGTTAATGTTAATTCTGTGTTGAGATAAATTGTTTCAATTATTTTGACTTAAACAAGGTTTTTTTTTTTTAAATGGAGGCCAGATTTTGTTAAAATATGCATTGATAGATGTGAAGAAAAGTTAATACTTTTTAAATATCTAGAATTTATGAGATTCTCGTCATCATACTGATTACTGGTATCAGTCCTCTTGGTTATGTACTAATTTTACGTATGCATAAGGTTGCTTGATTCTATTTCTTGCAAGGTAATGTATGCTTTATATCAGTGTTCATTAGAAGTGATCTAAATGGGTCAGAGGAGGTGGTTGTACCACTAAATGGGCAGAGGGGTTACGTGGTTCTTACTTGTATCGTCTTGTATTAGTGGCATTGACTATGCCGTTTTTATTTCTCATTTTTGTTCTTGAAACTAACTTATTCTTTTATAGGCATACAGTTTTTATTAAGTGGATTCATTAACTCTTGCATTACTTTATATTCTATAAAAGCAGTCATCGATGTCTTGCAGAAGAGAGTATCAATTTCCAGAAAATGAAGTCAGTAAATTGCTGGAGAAAGTTAGAGAACAATATAGAAAAATTTTCGTTAATGATAAGGTATAATTTCTTCATACCATTTACCTAATTTTATTACAATTGATTTATGCGCACTTTTTTTTGCAGAATTAATTTTCAGCGTACTGAACTTGATGCTGAAATATTCATGTCATTATTTAAACAATATCTCACTGAACCTCGAGCCATTGACTGGAAATCAATGAAGCCATTAAGCTTAAAGTTTCAACAGGATTATCAGTCATTACCTCTGTGTTGTGACGAAGAAGAAAGGAACGAAATTCTAAAACATTTATCCGTTTTAAAGCTAAACGGAGGTTTAGGTACAACCATGGGTTGTGATAAACCAAAATCACTGATTCAGTTGCGTGATGGAATGACATTTCTCGATTTTGCTATCAACCATGTACAGGTAAATATAATCTTCATCTCTTAGTGTTGCCTGAATTTAATCATAATTAAAAAATCATTTGCATTTTGTATGAACTTAATCAAAACGACATATACTTATATATATAAATTGAACAAGTAATTCGGGTCATCCGTTTTTTGAAGCAGATTTATTTTTAAGCAACAGTATTTCAGGGGTTTTTTTTTGACAAATTTAACTTTTGTATGCAAGTTTTCAAATCTGCATGATTTTTTTCAGCATTTCAATAATACGCATCATAGTTCAGTGCCATTACTATTGATGAACAGTTTTAATACTGATAAAGCCGTCAACGAATATTTAGCTAAGCGTAAAATTACTCTCAAAACTTTTCTTCAAAGCAAATGTCCAAGAATTTTTGCTAAAAATTCGCTTCTTGTACCATTAGAAGATGGATTGAACTCTGCAGAAGGGTAGGAACATCATATTTTAATTTTCCTTGCTCATTATAGTGATTATAATTAAAAATTAAAAAATTAATTTGTATCTTACATTCAATGCTATCTATTCTCTTTGCCTCATTACATCATAAACTTTTTCGTGGTTCTGCAATAATTTATTTTAATAAAAATTATTGCAATATTTTTGAACATATTAAATATTTGAAGATGAATGTAAGACTCTCTGAAAAATTAAGGAAAATTAAAGTTAGATCAATTTAAAAATTGGTCAGTCAAAAATTATCAGGTAATTCTCATAAGAAACAGTATAATATGAGAATTCATCATTAACTAGTTGATAGGATGTGCTCAGTTTTCTGTATCAGTTGATAAAACATACTACTAAGTTCTAGTTTAAGGGCAAATTCTTGTAAATTTTAATGAATATGGACTGAAAATTCAAATTTTAGATGGTATCCACCTGGTCACGGAAATATTTTCAAATCGATGCAGTTTACTGGTGTTTTGGACGAGTTGCTTGAGGAAGGACGTGAAATATGCTTCATTTCTAATATTGATAACACAGGAGCAACGATCGATTTACGCATTGCTAAATTAATGTTTGAAAGTGACTTAGAATATGTTATGGAATGCACAGAAAAGACGGAAGTTGATAAAAAGGTTTTTAATTTGAGCAATTTTTGGTTGTATTTATTTTACATATCGTGATATTTTAAATTATTATACTTTCTATTTAATTCGTACATGCATAAGAGTCATAATACTGTGAAATCAATTAATGATGTTAAGTTGTAAATTTGAGAAAACATCACATTTTTAATTTGAAATGTTCTACAAGTTATTTTGCAGGGAGGGACTTTGATTGAAATTAATGGATGCATCATGCATTTGGAGCTACCACAAGTACCCGAAGAACACGTCGATGATTTTTGTTCCTCTAAAATTTTCAAGTAAACATTGCATTATAATGTTCTGCTTTTTGTTTTAGTATTTTATTAAATACAAAAACTGTACAAATCTCAAAGAAGTAAAAATTTATAGGATTTTCAATACCAATAATATCTGGGTTAATTTACAAGCTGTTAAAAGGAAGCTCATGGATATGAAAATGGAAATCATTGTCAATAAAAAGGTCTGTAAGATCCGAAATATTATTCTTTCTCTTGATATATTTCAATCTAATGCTGCCAAAATTAAGATTGATATGGAGATGACTTTACTGTACGCCTTTCCTGTCATAATTTAATGAATATTATTCGTTTCATTTGTAGATGCTTAGTAATGGTGAGTGGGTGAATCAATTAGAAACATCAGTTGGTGGAGCCATTCGAAATTTTGACAAAGTAGTAAGTATGTACAACTTTTTCATATAATTTGAAGCTTTTTCTTAATTATTTGATTATTCGTGAGAAATTAACTTGAAAAATCAAAAATGTCAAAAACTAAACTTGCTTCGAAGTTTAGTTTTTGACATTTTGATATTTTTGCTTTTCTTTGATAGGTATATGGTAATGCTCACCTGTTAAGATTGCTCAGATGCTTTTGCTTTTAATTTCAGTAATTCGAATATTTTCATAGGTATTCAAGTGCCACGCTCTCGTTTTCTTCCTGTTAAGAATACTCAGGATCTGCTTGCTCTTATGAGTAACTTATATAGAGTTACGGAAGATTTTTCACTGCAAATTGTAAGAAAAGAAAAAGCACCTACCATTGAGCTGTCCGAACATTTTAGTCGTATTTCTGATTTTCAAAAACATTTTCTCGAAATTCCGCAATTACACCAATTAAAACGGCTAAAAATTACTGGCGATGTCTATTTCGGACTCAATATTTCAATAAAAGTAAGTTATTAATTTTTTAATGCATCAATTCATAATGATTACTTCTCATATCATCTTGTCTTTATTGTTCAGTTACTACAAAATTGACGAGTTATAATCTTGAAAATAGGTAGTTAATTGTAGTGTGAAGAATTTTTTAAGGGTGATGTGGAAATTGTTGCTGAAAAAGGACAAAAACTGGAGTTAATAGATAATGAATGTTTGGAAAATGTCAGGTTGGTTCAAGAAACAAAGTCCAAGGTTCAACGTATACCTTTGTAAAAAAGGCTTTCACCTGATAGGAAAAAAATAGAAATTGTCAGCATAATTTTTTAATAACTCTTCCTACAACTCTGAAAACTACTGAAAAGTTTGCATCATATATTGTTTTATGACGGTTTTTTGTTAAAAATTCAACAATCAGCTGTTGAATCAATTTTTATCGAGAACATTCAGTATTGGAAGGAATTATTTTCTAACAAGACAATATTAAAATTTATTGCTTCAAATTTTTATAATTAATCTGAAAGTTTAAATAAAAATCATATCCTAAAATCGAGTTAACCATAGTGTGAAGAATTTTTTAGCTCTAATCAAAATCAATCTTTTACTCGAAAAATGTAATTATGAGTTATTTTCTTCGAAGAATGTAATTATGAGCTATTTTCTTCGAAGAATGTAATTATGAGCTACTTTCTTCGAAGAATGTAATTATGAGCTACTTTCTTCGAAGAATTTGATTATGAGTTTTTTAAAAATTGTACAAAAACTAGAGTTAGTAGATAATGAATGTTTGGAAAAAATTTTGTGGAAATTAGCTGAGAAATTATTTGTCCTAGCTGTTATTTTACCTTGTATCAACACTTTTTGTTATTGTTTTTTTAACTTGATTAGTTTTCATAAGTGAAATGAATGCCTTCTTTATTCCATTGTATCTACTAACATTTGCTTTATTCTACTCACTATTTTCTCAGACTTATGGATGGATAATTATAAGTTGAAATATTTTCGACAATATGGCAATTCAGGAATCAGTTTTGCAATAACTATTTAAAATCATACTCGTATTTTTTACGTTCTGTTCACAGAAAAATATTAAAAGCATAAGTAATTTTTACTTTGAAAATTAGATCATAAAGATTATTTTCAGTAAATTACAAGATCAAATTTATAAATTGATCGGTAACTTTTAATAACAATTTTGCAATTAATGCGCAATATCTACGTAGAATAATCAGTATAAATGCGCATATTTGCTCTCCAGCGACTGCTGTTTAACGGCAAAAGACATTGTACAGGCGAGAAAAAGCAGTTCCGCAAATGATTAATCCGTCGCTTTGTATGCATAATGAATTTCAGCGATTTTCCAATCGGTGATAATGAATAAATATCATATGTTCTGCAAATATAACTAGTCGAAGGTATTATTCTTATTTGCACATATATTAATGAGCTTTTATTTTCATAACATTTACAAAAAAAATTGCTTTTGTTTTTTAATGTAATTGGCAAAACTTTGCTTTTTGATGAAAAGCTGATAGTTTGAATGTAATAATTATAAATTAATTGATATTCATTATTAATAAAGTACCTTATAGATGTTGACTGACTGCATAGTAAAACGCATACCAAAAATAGTGGTAAGACGAAAGAATATTGCATCTATAACAAAACTATGCAAAAAATAGAACAAATGTATGGACAGATTTGCATTGTGTTTATACATAAATAGTTCGCACAAGTGCCAAATAGTTTATTTTACTTAATCCTATATGAATTTAGAACAATGAATGAGTCAGTTATGTATGAATGGAAATTATACATTGTAATCAACAGATTTTTTTTAAGGATTAAGAAGAAAGATCAACAGATCTATCCATGAAACGATCTATAAAAGTTGGAGTACTTGTAGAATATCAAAATAAGATTTAAACATTTCCATATTTAAAAATAAACATGGAAAAAATTCTCACGATACAATTTGCGCTGAGGCTACTTTCTCACATTGTCTAGTCTTATTTTTTTATCCATTTTAGCTTCATGCTTTTTTTTCGATTTGCTAAATAAAAAGTATTTAAAAACTTTTTACGCCCCACTTCACTAAATTTAGATCCTGAAATATGTCTCATGTGTATCGATTCACGAAAATATCAAGGCATTATTTTGATATTAACTAACCAATTAAATAATACAAAGTAGATTTCATATTTTTTAAAACCCCTCTCAGTGTAAAATTAACATCAATATCTCAGCATTCATTCCTTAGCTCATTATTTTTAAAAAATTTGCTCTATATTGCTTGCTTTTATTGCGTCAATTCTTACTAATCACTTCTACTAGTGATAAAATAACGATGAAGGCGGAACGACTTTCTATGTGCATCTGAATTATTGTATATAAAAACCTTAATATTTTAATTGTATATGTCTTTCAATATTCTTTAAAAATTTTTTTTTGTCACAAATAAAAATAATATTTATTTGGATTCAAATGTTAAGCCGGTGCTTATGGTTAAAAATATCTTTAAGTGTCTGTTGTTCATTCACGACGAAACTTTGAAAGAGTTATTCCTTCCTGCTGCAGTCGAAAATAGAAGGCAAAAAGGTGAACTAATTCAAACGTCTCAGTTCACATGAAACTTTAATTTTCCATTAATTTTAATGATGACGAAAAAAAGGTAAATTTTTGTTCTATTTGAAAACAGAAATGTAATAAGCATATATCTCTCTTCAATACGTGAAGACTTTTATTGACTTGGAATAGATTTTGTTTGCAATAAGTTCTTTCAATAAGTATTTGATGCACTTGCTTACAAGAAGAATTATGAAGCATGGGAATCTGTTATTTTCGTGTGCTGTATATCGAAATTAATGTGTTTGGACAAGCATAATAAAAACAAAAAACCTTTCTGTTTTAAACTGAACCATATATCATCAACAGGAAGAAGTAGAGTATGAACAAATTTAGGACGATTATAGTGCCAAAAACATAAAGATGAATGTGCTTACCAAGAGACGCGAGTAAGCTTTAGTACTCTTTAACAAGAAAAATGCTGCTAGTATTTACAATTTCATTCATTCAGTTGAGTTAGTGACTAGAATCGCTGAATGATGTTAATTTCACTGACGTTACTTGGCAAAATCAGCCAAAGTCATATCTTCGCAATCTGGTTGATCAAAAGAAGTTGTTGGATAAGAATTGGTATGGTTTTTATTCGACAACTATTAAGAACCTCTGCTGTTGCTACTGTTGCCATTAACATGAAACAGAAATGACATGACTGTTCCAGAGTATCAGAAATACCGAACTCTTTCAATACCTCACATCAGAATATATCTGAAAATAGCTAAGAAGGCACAAAACAAAATACAATAAAATATATGTAAAGTAGGTCAGTGCCATATTCTACAAATCTTCCTCTGATTGAATTCTATGAAAATTTGCCGAAATTTGAAATAAAATATACAAAGGCCAAGCTTTTACATTATCAAAACAAAAAATTACATCAAACTTCGAAAACGACAAGTAAAGTATTCTCATAAATATTTTTCTGAAAAAAAATTTGCAATAAAACCTCCATTCTACATTCTTTTGCATCCAGTGAGATATCCAGAAATGAGAAAGCTTTTATAGTAATAAAATGATACAATAACAAGCACGAGGTGTGTAAACAATGTCACTCTCTTTAAATGAGAATTAATGAATTTGAAGGCATACCTCACATGTTCAAGCTTTTGTTTTGCCGTTTGTAGAAGTTTTTGTCTCAGGATTTGTATCAGATGCAGCCAGGACTGCAGCTCGACGTCGAGCCGCACCCGGTTGATAAATTGCACGTTCTGGTCGATCCTATAAAAGGATATGTATTTCGAAAACTTCCAATTACTAAATACAGCTGTAACAAAGAAAAACTGATGATTCAAGAAAAAACTAAAGGATATAAACATTACTGCATAGAAATCACATCTGGAAAGAAAATACTCCACAGGTATAAAATATACCACAGATTTCAAAAATTGAAACAAAAATTCAAAAGAGTTTTCAACCCTCCTGAATATGGTTTTCAGGGCAAATAACTATTTCAGTAGCAGCATCTGTAGAAGCAACTAGAATTATTTATGCTGTTTTGTAGCGTTACACAAAATTATGAATCGAAGAGCACCATTGTAATTCTCAAATACTGATTAATAAGAATTGAAATAAAACAAACACAGTTCAAAAGTTTTGTTCCATCTGCATATAATACAAAGAAAGTAAAATAAGTATATTAAAGTATTAAAAAATTCAAATACCTTATTACGACGAGGCTTCACAGCATCACTTTCTACGGCTTTCTCGTTCTTCACTTTTTTTTCCTCGACCACATCAACCCCTGATAAGTTGTTTCTCGCTCCTCTAATTGTGATATTTGATATTTTCGGAGCTGCTCTACTCACTCTAAAAAAGTTAATGTAATATGAATAATATTAATGTATTATTAACACTTCATCTTTCAAAACCTTACTGAACAATTTCTAATGAAGAAAATATATAGAACAACAACTGTCACATATTAATTGCTAATATAATGTTGTAAAGAAATTATGTTGCAGTCTACAACTCGAAAATACCAAAGTAAAAAATAAAAATTTTTACGTACTGTTCTGCTTCAGCGACATTATCTGGTGGTATTAAGTCAGCAGGTTTATTAATCTTTTCAGTATCATCAATTTTATTGGTTTGTGACTTCTCAACTTTTTCATTCTGATCTATTTTCTTCACACTACATTCTTCACTGGCTACAAATGTGACATTATTAAGTTGCTTAGAACAAGGACATAATCGATCATGAACCAAATAACACCCTTCGTTTCTTATTTTTGATTAGAAAATTATCAGTGAATTTTATGAACTTAATACCTGACAAATTTCGTACTCTTTTTTTTAATTCTACATGCTTCAGCCGATCGCTTACAACATCTTTACTATCCAAGCCCACAATTCGATCCCCGAAGCATTGTGTGCGCATTTTGGACCTGCAAAATATTGCACTGAAAAAAATCCTCGACATGTGGCCAAAAAATTAGAAGAATGTGACCGTTTCGTTTAATGCAGCTTCATCTTTTCGTCAGATTGAAATGAGATGATGAAAACTGTAATTCTTGTAACTCACTGCATAGCTAAGAGGATAATAACAGATTTCTAATAAAGTATTAAGATCATATTAATTTTGGAAAAACAACAAAAAAACTAATAAGAAAATAACGACATTAGCAATTAAATTTTATAAATTTTTAAGAACCTTTCGTATTCCTTCGCTACAGCGTCACTGCTTCGTTCGAATTTTGAATTACGGAACTCCACTACTTTTTTTGCGTCATTTTGTTCTTGATTATAGTTTTTTTCACTTTCGCGACGTCGTTCGCTTCGTAAATATTTTTCTTCTTCACGAGTACGTCGTCTTTCCTCAAATAGAAATCCTTTACTTAAAATATAAATTCACCAGAAAATTTAAACAAAGTAATTTACCATTAAGAAAAATTTAAATAACCTACATTCCAGAATTTTTTGATACATAATGAATGCAGATACCACCATGAAAGATCTAACCCTTCACTACGTACCAAATTATCCACAAAAAAAGAATTTCAAAAATTAAAACCAAAATACATAGAGCCATAAATTTAATCGTATTTAAGTAATAAAATACATGAGAATAACCTGCATACGCTTTATACGTTCTTCACCTTTTTTATCCATGTATTGAGTCAACGGTGTTTCCTGCACATAGCTCTCTGAAATCAGCAATCGAAGTAATTGTAAATAACCTCTAATGTCAAACTCAATTTAAAAAGAAAAAATCTTATGTATTTCGAACTTTAATTCGTCATAACTTAAAAAATAGTTTTTGACGTATAAACACACAAGGTTTTTAAAATAACAATAATAAAAAATGAGAATTTTCACAACATTCTTAGTACTGACGTTTATTTATGCCACATATCATACAAAACTTATATTCCTAGAAAAGATTTTTCATGACCCAATTAAACAGTAATGCGAATTACCGAACAAAAATAAAACTAGATGCCACCTACGAATAAACAAATGTAACATTTCAGTAGATGGATTTGAAGTCTCAAACTTAATTATGCCCTTTAAATTTTTTGCATACATGAAGTACACTTTCTAGTTTCTAAACTTTTTGATTTTGTACGTGATAAGATTCGCAATATCCCAAAAAATTAAATGATTGTATATAATGCTTTTCAGCACCAACAATTTATTAATTTCGAGAAAAAACGACTATAAAAATTAATTCATTTCTATGAATGAAGAAACTAACGCTCTATTGTTTTTTCTTTTTCTTCGATTTCTCTCACCAACACTTCCAACGGTACACGATCTAACACTTCCGGACTTTTCCTTTCAACTAAGAACTTTTTATATTCTTGATCTAAATAACTCAAAGTTAAAAACTTTGAACTAGCGACAACAGAAACGAAGCAGCATTCCTGGCTTTCATCATTCAAACAGGTTTTCGAATGATACATATTGATAAGTAGATTTTCGAAAAAGGGATAATCGTTTCTCAACAACCAAAATTTTAACAAACTAATCATACAAGTATTTCACTCCTATTTATGAAAGTTTAAAAAAAATGACTCCCAGTGATAATTTAGTTGCTACCTGATAAACAGAAACCTTTCGAATCTTTTGCATTTCCTCTGCTAGTAAAAATAAATAATTGTGTTTCAAAACCTGATTCAACAGTTCCACACTTTGGATCACGCTTTTTCGAATCTTCTAAGTTATCATATGGAACTTTTGGATTTGGAGCTAGTTCAACAATACCAACAGATTCTCCACCTAAACATCAAAACACAGATATCTAAGTTTAAGTTTTCCCTTAAATTAATATGTCTTTTCACTGCGGGAACGATAAAAAAAGTAATATATATATAGTATTACCAATAATTTTGAACATATTGACTAAATTCTTGCAGAAGTAAAATAATACGGCATAAGTTAATGCTGCGTTAATTAAATCTGAAAAACTGTACCTTTATCATCGATAAAAACATATCCATGAAAACGGTCTCTGAATGTTAAAATATCATCGTCATTCTTAAAGACAAAATATACTCTCGAAAAGGATACTCCACCACTAAAAATATACCAAACTCAAGGAAATTTCATCAAAACTCAAAAATAACTACAAACTAAAGTTTCACAAATAGAATTACTCATCCAAAATTAAAAGATCAATAATAAACTAGTGAAAACCGTACTCTCTTTTAGCAGCAATGAATTCGACAAATTCGAAATCAGGAACAGGAGACAGCTGAACCTGTAAGTTATCCCATGTCATGGCAGCTGGCAATCGACGTAATACAATCTGAAAATTTCAAACCAAAAATTCTTTCAAATTTAATGCATCGCCAATATTTAATTGCTTTGTGCACATAAGTCATATATTGTTCTTTCAACAACAACAACAGAAAAATGTGAACATGAAACTGCCATCTTAATAGTGCAAATATTGAAAAATAAACCAAAATTGGAATGGTGCTTTAATTTGAACAAAAGCAAGCGGAAAACTTACTTTTGGGAGCGTTTTTCTTTTATTTCTGCCTTTTTTTGAGCACGAAGCAACTGAGACCATATTTGACAAATCACTTTTCATTTTAAATCAAACTGTATTTTCCTTCAAAAGAGTAATCATTTGAAATACTCACTGCCTGATGTAAATAAAGTAAAGTTCGCTCAATAGTGTAAACAATTATGAGTGATGCTTAAACTTGAAAAAAACGCTGAAAGCATAAACACATGCACTTCTAATGAATTATATCAAGCGACATGAAAACCCCAAATATGAAACATAAGTAAAAAAGATACAGACAATTTTTTTCAAGACACTTTTCAAGCAAATAATATAATATCCGCTATTACTGTTTTACACTCTACTCTTCCAAATATGGAGCTCAATAAACCCCATCAAAGATTGTTGGAAAATGGTCAACGAAAAAATCTCATCGAGAAAATTTCATCCCAAAACTGACAAACTTACTATTTATATCAAATCTTAAGTTAACAAAAATTCGCAACAAACCACAAAGTTCCACATCAAAGCCGTCCTAATCTATCTCAATTCTTAAATAATGACCACAAAACTGGCTGAAAGTCAAAATGAAAAAAATTATAGAATAATTTTTATAAAAACACCTTCAAATACACAGACATAATACTTTTACTAGCAATAACTATGATATTTATTTCTCCAGTTTCCGCCAATTTTTTAACTGCTATAATATGAGAGACACACGTACAAAAACTATATAAATACTCCTAACACGGATTGTCTTCAAAAGAATGACAAAAAATCTCATCACTGCCTCCCTTAGATTTTATATAAAGAAAAGCTTACTACACTACTGGCTACCTGGCCCTACATGCAACTCATCTAAACAAAATGTACACAACACTTAATTGCACAAAAATCTTCAATATATTTTGGAGTGAAACAGAAACAGTTATTGCCTTTCAAAATTTATATTTTCTGAGTTAATCTTGTTCAAGATTCACATATTTGTACAGTTTCAAGAATAAATAAAGAACGCAGTCAATAGCTAATCTATGTACAAATATACTTAGGAACCCACTTAACATGCAAGCAAGAATAACTTAGTTATTTAATCATCAACCTCTCCAAGAATACAATTTTTTAACACTGTAACTCGAAAGTACCCCAATGATCTTATATTAACGTAATTGCAGCCCTCTGATTTTGATTATTACTTATGAGGTAAGAACAAGATATTCATTTTTTTTAACAGTTCAGATATTAATATTTAAATTTAAGTACAATTAAAAACTGACTTCTACACAAACAAGAATAAATATATGATTACTTTCAATCACATCTACAATAGCCAATCTAATGAATAGACATCCTTTAACTACATAATATAATCGAAAGATCATCTACATAAGCCACAAGGATAATTATTTAATTTCGCTTAACCTCGTTAACGAGAAACAACAAAAATAGGGCTATGTCTAAAAAATTCTTGTTACAATAACAGAAGAATATTGCTAAATTTCATTACAATAACAGAAGCATATCATTAAGTTATCTTAATAACAGAGGCACATTACTAAGTTGAAAACAAAAACAAACCTATACGCATCAAAAGTACTGCATATAATGTGTTTGAGTATGTTTTCAAGTCACAAAGTATTTCTTGAGGTATGCGATCATCTGAATTAGTAATAGAATTTGTATTTCCCTTGAATTTGACTTTAGAGGGTTTTCTATAGACGGCAGACTCATAAACAGACATTGTCAACTACAACGAACAGTAGACAATGCAGGAAAAATAATCAAATTAGAGCCTTCACAAGAAGCGAAATAAAGGACAAGTAAATGACTCAATCATTTAAACTCTAGTAAAGATAAATGAAAATCTTTCAGCTCATAGAAAAATTAGCGTCCGAGAAAAGACAAATTTGTAACAGATATACGAAAGGGAAAAGGCAAAACTAGAAGTCTAAACAAGAAGCTAGACGATTAGCTTACAACAGAGACTGACAATGGAGCCAATGCACTACAGAGATTTTTCGCATATGTATTATTTCCTAATTTTAACACCTAACTCTGGAATGATAATTCCAACTGTAAGTGAGGAAAACAAGATTTTTCAACCAGAAAGACTTCATTCACTTAAATATCAATTTCACAAAGTAGAGAAAGGTGCTTAAAAAATTAGCAGTAGTCAAATAATTGGGAAAACTAACGCATACACTTATTTAGAAAACTATAACTTACAAAAAAGCTTATTAAAATAATGAAAAATTTTAGATCACAGTAGTTTTTGAATTCATAAACGATCACAGCAGTTTCACATTACCTGAATAACATGAAACCTTAGTATCACAAAAAACCATCCAATATCAACAGTTTAATACAGTTACAACATAACACAGGGTAAAACAAAGTCAATAGAACTTAATATGCTAATAAAATCAGAAATGCTACTGCACAGCAAATGACGGTATCTATGTGTTTCCTGAATTAAAAGTTCATGCCAAACTGCGCAAATTATAACACAGCCTGTATAACTTTAGTGTTCTAAAAGAGAATTAGTCACATATCAAGCAGATTAAGAAGCGATATACAAAATTTTAAAAAAAGCATTAGTTTATAAAATTAAATAGCAATGGTAAAATTCAGGCAAAAATATAATTCGTTAATATACAGGCATTTATAGACACTTAGCATGTCTCATTTTTAAGGTCGGCGACACTATTTGCTGAGGATGTTTCATATAATGATGCCGCATCTACTGTGTCTTCCTCTGCTTGCTCTTCATAATCCACTGGCGAAGGGCTGCGAGAAACGAGAGTTCTTAAACTGCTCCCAACAATCTGAGATTTTATAAACTCAACAATAATAAAACTTGGAAAATTCCTCTATTACTTTTTTCAACCCTAAATAATTTGAAAATTACTTGCTATATAAAAATGATAATAAAATTTGTTGAATACTGCTACATCAATTAAATAATGAGAAAACGTACATTGAAGTTAATTCCGCCATCTTTCTGCAACGTTTCTAAGAACCCGCGGATGAAATCATCTTTCTTCATACGCCATGTATTTATTATTTCCAAACTCTTTTGCTTCAAATTATCGACCTGATTTTGGAATTGATAACGTCGAGCCTATAACACTAACTTTGAATTTCAATTCGGAAACTGCTAATATGAATCAAAAGTGTCTGACGTAATCACGTTTTAGCAAGAAATCTTCAATAGTTTCGGCTAGAACATAAGAAAAAGATAGTAATTCGAGGAGTTATCTTTAGAGAACAGTTTCAGAAAAATAAAGCATATCAAGAGTGCGCTGAACAAGATACGTAGTAGAAGAATTGTATTCAACAACATAGTTCTTGCATAAAATATTGATATCAGTCACAAATTAGTCCAGCTTCATTACATTCCACAAATTTAATATCATAGTTTTCGAAATTAAATTCTGAGAGGTTAAGGACAATGAACAAAAATAAAGAGTTCAACAACGGTACAAGGCAAACTCTATGGAAAAATTACTGTTTGGATAGACTACAAAAATGTATCAATATATGTAATAAAGTTATCAATTAATAGTGATGAAAATGTATAAAAAAAGATTACAGACAAATGGGATTATATTCACCATACAATTCAACTCTTCTTTTTAGCTAGTGAATTCGTCAAAACAACATACAGCAAGAAATCCGACATTGAGCTCTTTGGCGGAGTAACCACGTTGCAAATTGCGACGAACATACTTATCGTAATCACGAATTATACGGCAAACCACATCACTAGTCGAAACGCCTTCTGTACGCTGCGTTTCCAGAAACATACCTTCACGACGAAATTTCTCGTAAACATCAGCGTCTCCTGGTATCGCATATGGTATTGCATCATGCGCTACAAAATCAATCTAAAACACGCAGAAAATTAAACAAAATTATGTGACGAACACTAATACATGATTTGGAAACATGAAATACACTGATGACAATCTGAGAGGAAATAAAAGCATTTCCGACAGAAAAGCATGAATAGTAAACAAATATTTGATATTTCTCTTTTTCTGAATGAATATTGGAAGTTCAGTTCATTTAATAATAATAACTTAAGATCACTGAGTAAGCCAAAATTCACTAGCCTTTAAACTCTTCAAAAACTCAACAGTGCAACACCAAGGAGCATTCTTATATACTTCATCAACATAACGGCAATGACGTACACCTTCATATCTTTCGTCCTCTGATGTAACTGTACGGCCTTTGTATTTAAGAGTATCGGCATCACCACACACTAAATAAAGACAGTGTTAAAAATTAAGTGAATTACAAGACGAGATTAGAAAATTTTGTGCAGATTATTACTTCGATATACCTCCAACAATAAGATAGACATTTTGAAATGCACTTTTCGCTTGTTGCAACTGATTCGCATGGCCGTAGTGAAACAGATCATAAACACCGTCAGCATAAATACGTATTGGACGTCCGACTAAAAAAATGATGAAAATGAAACCATTTCATAATACTTATTGAAATATTTTGACTATTTTAGTCATATTTTGCAAGTATAAAATATTTAACAAACTCAAAAATTCCCACTCATATACTTTATTTCATATCTCTTAGTGAATGAAGAAATTACAAATGCTATTGAAAGATTTTTGATATACAAAAAACTTGTCTAAATTACCTTTACCACTTTTTGCCATTTCAAGAGTAACTTTTACTGAGTAATCAATCAGTTCACGTTGCGCAATTATGTCTGGATCATCACTATATGGTGCTGGTTTTTTAAGAGCTAAAGTACTTTCCGGTTCAACGACACCATTTTTCTAAAAATTTCCTCCTATATACCGCGTTGCTAAATTTTCATACATAATCAAAACTATTCTTCAACAAATTAAGGAACTGTTTTTATCTAATTATCCTATTTTACAATCAAAAAGTAATAATAAAGTCAAACTATACTGAAAAAAACTTAGTTAAAAGTACGATAAAAGAACTAAATATATAGATACATCAGTAATTATAATAAATATTTAGTTCAATAATGACTACAAGGTATTATCCACTTAATGTAAAGAAGTATAAAATAATATAATCATACTAACACCAGAGAGTACATACAATTATATAATACCGTTAGCATAGATAAATGTAAATACAACTGATAAATTTGGAGTATAAAATATAATCAATAGCAGCAATGATAGTAACAAAATTGAAGCACAGAGATAATCACAATTATAATGAATACTTTCTATTCTTACTTTAATTCTAAAACTTGTTTAAAGAGAAGACGAAAAAAAAAATAAATAAAAACAAAACAAAACAAAAAAAAAGACTAACAAGTTCCGAAGTGAAGCTATCGAGAGAATTGCTTTTGCTACGAATTTTTGGAAGCAAATCATTCTCCATATCAACGAAAGCCTGACTGATTGTGCGTTTCTGACTTCGTCTCGACATGTGAATGTGTGTTCTTTCCTGTATTTATTATGAAGAAAAATTTTTCTTTCATAGCAATAAGTTGAGATTACAATGCAATTAATCACACATAAGAGAACAACAATCTTTGAACACACACTCACACACACTCACACACACAGACACACACACGAATTCTTTGATTAACAAAACACTGCACTTTACAAAGAGTTAGATGTGAACTTTAATTAATTAATAAAATGTATGGAGTAACAAACAAAAGACAATTCCCAATTGTTCAATAACCTTTGAACCGTTCCACAATATCTATGCTTCGCCATTTATTAATGCAATCGATTAAGCAATCTGCAATTGTCAATTTAAATACATGAATACCAACTTTGGAAACTTTCTTTGCAAGATAATATGTATTTATAACAACTCTTAATTTGAAACCAGCGTGAATAGAAAGTATAAAAAACTAAAAAGTATTAAAAAAATTTACCATGATATGAAGCGCATAGTACTCTTGGGAAAGTCATAGTAAATATAGGTCATGTTTCTTTAGTAGATTTGTATCACACTGAACCGTATAGGTCAATTTATAATTGCATGGAGCATACAAGAGAGGAGGCGTTTCTTAGAGAATGTCAAATTTATCTGTATAGCGAATCAAGAGTCATTCCAGGCAGTGTAACGAGTAAGGGGTCATTCTTATTGACATGATGAGAAAGAGGTCAGTTAAATTAACATGCGACTGTTTAAATTAATATAAATCAAGGGCCATTCGCATTGATCACAAGAAAAAATATGTCAAGTATCCCTCTGCACATTCTTTCTTATAATTAATTCATCGACTGATTCTATACCATATCATTCTACATGGTTGTATACCAGATGTTATTTCAGGTTCACTTATACGCGAAAATCCTTCGCTCTTCTCGTACTCGCATAAATATACCAAAAATAACACAAAACAGACGACTGCACATTTGAGCACAAAACTTAGCTGAAATTTAAAACTGCATCAAACAGCAACTGTCAGAAACTGATTCTTATTACTTATTGTATCGGTTATAGAATTTGACAATTTCCCTTTCTCTGGCGCACTTGCACTTGCTACCAATATTATGCATAATCAAAATATGGTAGGGAATCATATTGAGATCAGAAAAAACCATTAGCAAAGTTCGGAGTGATTGAATGAATGGTCGCTGAAAGGATTTGTGGTATACCACTAATCTATCCTATTCAAAGGATGATCTAGTGGTCTACTAATTGACCAACATATTATTTCACTGCGATTTATCTCAAAATGAAGTAAGCATATTCTTTAGATTACTCTAATCAATTCGAATTATAAAGTTACAGGTCATGTCTATCAGACCCAGTTGCTTATGAATTAATTTATGAGTCGTAAGGTAGATTTCATTTATTTTGTTTGAACTTCATTCTGACATCACTACATCAACTTATTATCTTGATCTGGCTTAGCAGTTGAAAGTTTGCTTAATTTCATATCAAGTATAATTTCCAAATGCATTTCATTCTGTTACATTTTTAACAGCACAAATTAGTAAAATGATAAAGTAATATCAGTAACTTGATGTGTGAAACTAAAATTGTACTCTATGCGAGAGCAAAATATTACACAATTTAGGCAATGCAAGCAGGTTTTATGATTCTTCAATATATCACACACAAACCGACTTCAATTGCTAAAGTAGTGAAAGCAAATAAATGAAAGCAGAAGTAAGCAAGAATTGTTTTCTATTTCCATTTTTGTTTTCCAAGAGATGAAAAAAGTGTATTGTACACAAATAAATGTAATAACAAACCTGCTTTAGCAATTGAGATAGATAGCAGTAAAGCAAAAGCAGCAATGGACAAGTTCATTATAAGCAAATAAATAAACGGAATATATTCTTGACTTTGAGCTCAGCAGCTACCACTTTCAAACATTTATTCTCTTGAACTTACAACACTTTACAAATAGTGGCTTTTGGAATTTCAAAGTTTTCAAAACAAAAGTTTGAGATCACAAAACTATTGTTCCTAACTATCAGCAAATACTACAGTTAACATTCATCATTATCTATGACTATTCTGAATAAATTAATAAACAAATACAGTCCTTGTAACAAGAACAACAACGTCAGTAATGATGCACTTGCACATCTGTTTATATAATAAAAAATAAATATGATAGAACACATGACAGAAAACCTTGAAGAAGAAGAATATACTAGTTTCTACGAAATTTTCATTTTACACAATATCTACTAATTGCTTTTGATTTCGTCTATGTATATTTTCTAAAGTTCGATCATTCTTTAAACTTCTATCACTACAAACAAAGTGAAATGAACTTTGAGAAACTGGCCAAAAAATCTATATTCACGATAATGCTTCAGCCCATCAGTCATTTTTTCAACAAATCCTTTAATCCACTTATCCTTTTTTAAATAATTAGGGAGCATAGCAGAAAATTTAAAGCGGTGTAGCGAACAAAAACCATTAAAATATTACACAGAGTACTCTGAATCGTCGTTAACTATTCGGTAAACAATCACATATTCTGGATAAGCCTATAACAGTTTTTTCTATTAAATGCAATCAAAAATATTTCAAAGAATTTTCTAACCTAACGATTACATTTTCAATCAATAAACTTGTTGAATAAAAATGCAACAGTTTCACTACTAACAGAACATTATTAGCAGAATAGGAAGTAGCAAAAGATTTTGTGCTTCCTATTCAATTATACTAGAAACGTTAAAGATCAACTAACCAAAGTGCTGTATTTCTCATGAACTAACCTAACAGAGTTTTGGACATTTTTGCACAAGCCTTAATTTTATTTCCATCTATCATTAAGTTTTAAAATTTTAACTTGAAAAAACACTACTTCATGTTTCACATCAAAAACTTTAGGTATTATTTAATGAAGTTTAAATGAGAGTAAATCAATGCAGTAAAAACAGAGTGGGAAAAATAGTTCGAAAAAAGACAGTATGCACTTTCTTTCGTCTAAAATACGAAAAACCATGTATGTAGATGCTTACATCTTCTGACATGGAAAACTGAAATATGCTGATAATACAGACAATCAAAATATGGACATTACAATTTTTATAGCTCACCTGCTCTCCTCTATATATGACATACTCAGGATAATTTAAACCTCCTGCACGTGGTTGACCCATAACAGAATGATGTCCTGGTGGTGAGTGTGCCATTTTATTGCATGAATTCTAAGTAAAAATACTACAGATACTAACAATTCTGACAACCTTACTGCAGAAAAGAAAGTTTATTGCCCACATCATATCAGAAACGACATTAAAATGATATTAAAACAAGGTGTGTAAGTTGAAAAAATATACAAAAACAATGCATTTTGTTTGCTCAGTACTTATTACAAGTGTGGAAAATACCTGAATAAAACACTTTCCCAACGTAACGCGACATAATAATAAGTGTCGAACACAGAAATAGCATGAACGATCATGATGAAGACTGCAACCACTTCCTGCCATACCAAACACATACTGATTACTTTTACTCGAATGCTCAGCGAAATAAATACCTACAAATCTTCAAGACACTGAAACTTCTGGTGCTTTTCGTTTTCATGAATATACAACTGAAGTATGTAATTTCATCAAAAATTCAATTTTTGAGAGAATGACATGGCTTGTTCGCAGTATCTTCACAAGCATATTACAATTTTATCTATTTGAAAATTGTAAAATGCATTAGTTCTTGCACAAAATCTTTGTTTCTCAATTAAATTTAAAATTAACTTACCAGCACCAAACATGCCACCCATATATGAATATCTTTCATCAAAACCTTTTTGTACGATAGAATGTATGAACGGTGAGCCATGGTATAAAAGTTTTTCGTTGTGCTGACCAGCATTTTCTTCAGCTATATCCTCACGACGTCGTACGTATCTTTATGAAAAAAAAACAGCGTAGCTCATTTCATATAAATAAATTTGATAAAATCTAATTTATATGCAGCGTATACTGTAGTTGCCCATCAATATTTTGCTGCAGCATAAAATTTTAATTAAAATTTCATTTATACAAAATCTTGTTAAAGATACGTTGCCGTACCATGATGAATACAAAAACATGTGGAGCTATTAGACAAAAAAATAACCATCAAAATTACCTGTCATGAACTTTTTTATTAATAATTTTTTGTATCTCAACCACTTCAAATCTGGTATAAATACCACCCAATCCTAAATCGCGGTGTGGTACAATGGTTGAATTCAACCCATCTTCAATCTCCCGAAAAAATTTATTTGAACGTTCTATTTGTATTAACGCTGTATCTATCGCTAGGGGTCTTTCAATATTAATCGAAGAATCCCGATTTTCATTATCTGAAAAAAACATGTGGAGCTATTAGACAAAAAAATAACCATTTCAGATCGAAAAGTACGTAATGTAACGGACTACAACAGATAAGTAAGCTACTTTTCCGTCTGTTTGGTTCCGATCCAATTGCATCAAAAGTTGGTAATGCTCCCTCACTCCTCCGCAAAAATTTATTTATGTTTTTAAGTAACCGAAATCGAGTACCAAATGCACTAATACCAATAGCTTTCAAATCATCATGCGTCATGTTCACCAAAACATCCATTGTGATTTGTTCTTTGATGAACAAATTTTTTAGTGAATTGAGACCAATTGAAAGTAAATATTCTTCAACAGAAAACTTTTCGCATTCTTTACAGTGCGACTGAAAAATAATACATATAATAAATATTTTCCATGTTTTCAAATACAAAACTCGAGATGGTCTGGAAATAGAAAGCTGAGGCGAAAAGACAGTAATTTTGATGTTTTTAATTAGGAACAAATTCAAAATAAATAAGCTACTTTTTCTTTGCTTGAAGTTGATTCCTGAGTCAAACAGCTGGTGTTCAATAACTGCATATTATTAGCTTCTAAATTTCGGATATCTTGCATGAAAGATGAATTCGGCAAATCATCCACAGACAAACCAGTTGCATCATCTACGATACGAACAACTGGCAGTTTTTTTAGATCAATCGGTAAGGCACTCTGCAAAAACAAAATGTCAACATTTCAAGAAAACAGTTTTTTCTTCAGCGTTTAAAAAAATTGCTCCTTGTGTAAAAACAAATCATTCACTGAAAATACGAAAATATGATTTAGATATTTTTGCCACAACACTTACCATCAATAATTCTCTCGTGTCATCTGCAACAGTTACATCCAGAGCGGTTGAACCTTCGTTATTTTTGAGAGTAATATCAGCACCATTATTGAGAAGAAGAGAACAAATCTGAGTGCGACCCTAAATCTTCAAATATTATTTTTATTCTACAAAAAAAATTTGTATGAGTACATGCAATTAGAATGCATTTTTCAGATTATCGGGTGCACCACGCATTTTTTGTATTTACAAACATAAAACAGCGTTTCATGAGTACGTGCAAATAAGAAACACCTTCAGCGCCGCTTCATGCAACGGCGTATATCCCCATTTATCCGGATGATTTACGTCGGCACCACAATCAATCAGTAAACCTGCAATTTCCAAATGTCCAAAACTGCTAGCATTATGCAGTGGTATCAATCCCCCTTTATCCTTTAAATTCACTTCTGCTCCATTTTCAAGCAAAAATCGCGCAACTTCCAAGTTGTTATAACCAGCTAAAATTGACAGGTTTATTTAAAACAGAAGTTCAGTACGCAAATATTAAAAATATAAAATTCATCAAATACTGAGCAAAAAAGTAATATAATAGTGAAGTTTAGTAGTTTGTTGCAGCAAGCAAAAAATATAGTTCACAAAAAAATGAACATATGAGTTTTTGTAGACTTAAAAAAACAGTAGTTGACGGAACAACTCTCGAGAGTTCCTCTCTCGAAAGCTAGTAGCATGTAAAAGCATTAACCTGCCAAATGCAGCGGAGTGGAAAAACGTCCACGCACATCGCGGCAATTAATAGTTGAGGGAATAACAATTTTTCTAATTTTTTCTATATCACCTTCTTTAGCTGCTTCAAGAACTGCTTCATCACCTCGTAGTAAATCACGTACATCTTCCGCTCCTGTTAAAAATTCTGAATGCTTTGCATTATGTACAACAATTTTGTTAATGTTCATGTATGAAAACTTTCATTCTGAAATTTATAACAGTTCCAAAACATCCATTAAATGCGTACCCTCCTTAACTACATCTAAAGGAATCTTTCCATCTCGTCCTTTATGCTTTGAATCTGCTCCATTCAAAAGGAGAAGTTTGCAAACTTCAAATTTTCCTTTTAAAGCTGCTTCGTGCAGTGGAGTATATCCCCATTTGTCCACAGCATTCAGATTTGCGCCATACTGGAATTTCGTAATCACAGGTTAAATAAAACAATGCACAGTTCCAAAAATGATGATTTAAAAACATAAAAAGCACGTTCCTGATAATGAATATAAAATAAATTTTGACCAATATGAGATTCAGACTGATATTTTGGTCACTAGCACTTTTAAATCCTTCATTGGCAATATCTGTCCTTATTCTTCAATGAGAAAAACAATGAAAATACAGCTGGTTTGACTACATATAGTCAACTGGCTTGACTAAAAAACGTTTACACAAATTTCGTTTAACTCTAATAAAGAACTAAAAAGTTAATCACTCATAAATGCCATTTGAAAATTAACCTTTACGAGTAGTTCAGCAACAACCAAATGCCCATATGCGCATGCATTGTGCAATGGGACCAACCAACTATAATGTAACCATGAAACAACACATCCATATGAATATTTAGTAACCAATGAAATAATTATCTGCATAAAATCTAAGAAAAACTACTGAAAAAATATATGGTTTCCTGCTAGATGAATATACTTCTGCTCAAAAAATATAGTACTGAAAATGGTAAAAGCTTCAACAAAGCACACATACCCTGTATCTCTTGCTTCAATATTGGCTCCTTTTTCCAATAAATATTTCAGTACTTCCACTCGATTATACCCAGCAGCAAAATGCAAAGGAGTTGACTCTCGACCATCAAAATCCTTACAGTTTATAATTTCAGATCCATAATTCTCAATAATACGCTACAAGATTTTCATTTACTGATTCATTTGGGAAAATAATAAATAATAAATGTCAATGCAGCAATTACTGATCCTTTTGGTAGAGAGAAGAAGAACATAATTTTCACAATCGAAATGTGTAAGATATATTCAATGAAATAGATTTAGTACTAATTCAAAAATTGGTAGAAATATAAACTGAAGATTCAAAAATTACTGCAGATTAATATGTAATTGTTGCTATAATTTTGATACAAGTAATAAAGGTAGGAAAGTGAAAAAAAGCAGTGATAATATCATACGCTTAGAGTTGCAAAGTGATGTAAATGAACTATGTTTACGAAGTCAAATCACAGTCAAATATGAAAATTTTGCAAAATCAATAAATATCTTACTTTTACAGTACAAAGATCACCACATCTTGCAGCATCTAGCAGATCTATTTCCTCAGGAGATCTAGATCGTGTCTCACACGACGACGACATATTGCAACGCATACTCGGTACTTCAAGCCTACTTGATGGCATAACACTTCCAGAACCACTACCACGATTACGAGTTTCAGCACAAAATTTGCAACCTCCTCTTCGCTTACCACATTTCGTTGCCTTGCTTCCCTTCAAAAACTAATGAATGCAACTTCATATTTTTTCGAATTCTGTTACAGAAATTGTGTGACAAAATAAAGACAAGCATAAAACAATGATTGTGGAAGTATCATTTTCAATACTAGCAACGAATACCACATTCAGTGAATGTTCAGGCAATTACAAACTATAAGAACTCCATAAAATGAAAACAAGGATTTTAGAATTGAGAATTCAAGAATATAAAACATACTTACTCCACTGCCGACAGAAATATTGTTCCAAAAAATTAGAGAACAATGAAACACATTTTGAAAATTAGGGAAGAAAAACAAAAATATGAAGAGAGTAAACCAAAAGTCCCCACTGAATCTAGGATAACCTAAGTAAAAATGAATGAAATTCGAGCGTGTAACATTACTTTACACCGCTTTTCCACTGATGTTGTTTTTTCAAGACTCCAACGTTGAATAAAATCTTTAATTTCACTGTTTCCTGCGACATCAGCTGCCGTTTTCTGATCATTATCTCGCAGATCCGTTGGTAAACCATAATTTAACAATCGTCTACAGTTAAATATTCATATATATTACAGAACAATGTAGGCCCAATTTTTTCAACTCAATTAATCTTTTATTTGACCTGGTCCCTATTAATCACAGAATTTGAAACAAATATTGGACTGGAATTCTTCTTCCCACTATGAACAGTTCTACAACTTAGTAGTTAAGAATAAAATAAACTTTTTCTTAACAAACCAATTCTAATTTACTTCAAATAATTAGAAAATTTAATTAAAACTGCTCACTTGCACAAATCAAAATCTCCTTTTTCGGCTGCAATATGAAGTATTGTTTGACCTCGACTATTCAACTCACTAATATTTACACCACAATTAATAAGAACCTCCATCACGTCATATGCAGACATCTTTGCTGCGACATGTAGGGCTGACATTCCACTAAAATCTATCAATTGTTGACATAATGACACTGATTAACGCAACTTGACTTATCTAAAAATGTCTTTACATTAAAATCAATAATACAAGTTAATGTACAATCTACAGTGCAGCTGTTATGCAAAAAAAAAAGTAAATCATACATGAATGCCTTCACATCTAGTAAAGTTTTAGAGCTTACTCTTTGTTTCGAAAATTCGAATGACAGCCATTTTTCATAAGCATGTCAGTTATTACTTTTCGTCTTCGATGAATGGAACCAGCAACAGCATGTAACGGTGTTTCCTTCGAGCATGGGTGTATGTAATTAGGATCCCGATCGGCCAGCAAGTTTTTTAACTGATAATTAATGAAACATACTGAGACTTAGCTCGTATCAATTTGAAAGAACTACATGAACATCTTCTTTGAATGACCTAATAATTGATTAAGACCCGAAAAATTTTTAATTCGAAACTCTGTAAACTGAGTGCTGATTGCCAGATAGCTACTTCAATCTGTATAATGATTGCTTAACTTGAAGTAACTGTTAAAAGACTTGCGAAGGAAAAAAAACGTAAAGAACCATAAGAACATCGCCAATTTGCGCTGAAGCATAAATTTTATAGCCCAAAAATTCATGAATGATCTCTTTTTTCACATTTTCATCGGATATAAATTCAATTGGTGCTTTTGAATTTCCACTTCTCCGAGTTGGATCAGCTCCACAAGCCGCTAACAGTTTCACTACCTCAAATTAGATTAGAAATCTCAAAAGTTCGCAATTCTTCATGCACATTCAGATCTTAATGATTGTCATTCAGAAGACTTCAATACTGATTTCAACGTCAGCAACTGAAAATTAACCTCCAAACGCCCTTTACTAGCAGCTTCATGAAGCGGTGTAAGATTCCACAAATCTTCAGCTTGCGAATCAGCGCCAGCTTCCAAAAGTAAGACGACTACTTCTAGATGGCCAAATGAACAGGCATTGTGAAGAGGTACCAAACCCCTATAGAACTTTCTAATATGTAAAAAAATTTAGATGTTTTGGTAAAAACGATGAAAGTCGTCTGAAAAGGCAAGACAAATACTTCAGAAGTAGTAAATAGACTATTAAAAATCACGAATGAGGAAATGCATTTTAGATTTACAAAATATCATACCCAATATCAACAGCTTGAACATCTGCGCCTTTCTCCAACAAAATTTTCACTACTCCAATTCGATTGTAACCACAAGCTAAATGTAACGGTGTCGACTGCAAGTAATAAATTATGTAGAATAATGATTTTCTTGGAGAGAACGATGACTTTAAGACCAGAGGAACGTTCAAAACAAAACTGACTTTATACTGACTTTTACACTTTTTTGCAGTAAACGTTAGATTTTCACCTTTCGTCCATTAACGGCATGACAGCTAACATTAAATGGTGTTAAATAGGACAATAAACTCTCTTCATCACCATTCTTCGCAGCTTCTAATAACTCGTCTTTTTTGTAGTCACCTGTGATAGACATTTTTACGATACAATATTTTATATACTGCAACATACTAAACTGCACTTCATTCCCAAAACCAAATTAGAAACTTGTGGTTCTAACCAGTGAAAACAGTTTTTGCATCCCCATCCGCCAAATCTTGTGGTGTTTTACCATCGGCATTTTCACTGTGTGCCGAGGCACCATGCTGAAGGAGGAGAACACAAATATCGGCCTAAAAATATTTTATAGTTTATAATCAAAAAAATTAAAGTCTTTTGGATTATGCAAAACTAAATATCACTAGAAGAGCCACAGAATCAATAATTTTCGATTATATCATTTTCTAACTTACTTTTCCCCATGCAGCTGCTTCATGAAGTGGTGTAAATCCCCAATAGTCGCTAACATTTGCATCAGCACCATTTTCCAATAAAACTTTCACAACATCTACATGACCGAATGATGAAGCGTTATGTAATGGAAGTAAACCTCCATTATCTGTTTGCTTCATATTTGCACCAGCATCAAGCAATGCGCGGACGCAATCCACTCTTCCAAAACCTGCTGCATAATGTAATGGCGATGAATGACGATTGTTTACATCAGGCTAAAAACACAATTCTTAATAACTCGAAAATTATGATAACTTTAAAACTAAAAGCAATCTAAAAATCACCTCAACACCTGTACTATCTTTGAAATCAACTTAAAAACTAAGAAATTTGTCCTACTACAAGTGATATCAAAACTACCTTCAAAAATAAAGTCCAACTTTTTTCGACAACTTATTCAAATTTCAACAACACTCATTTCAAGATAATGAGTACCAGGCCAATAATTGTGTTAGAATAATTTACCTGATTAACAGTTGCAGGCTTAAGTAATGAAGATAACGTCGATAAATCACCTTTTTTACATGCTTCAAATAATTTTGTACACTCTTCTTCATGTTGCCGATCTGAATTTACAAAGACTTGAAGCAAACAAAAGCTAATTATGAAGTTTTGTGGTGCTATATTCAAATTTAAGTATCCTGCGTTCATGTCTCATTCTGCTGTTTTATTAACAACAAGAAATCTTAAAATCATAAATATAACTTCACGTCTTTCTACACATACTCTTCAGATCCAAAAACTCGTTTGTAATTTTGTGGTCAATTAAATACGATTTAATAAACAAAATTTTTTAAAGCTGTAACTTAATTTCCTTACATCCATCACTCCATCCCATGTTTTTCATAAATTTCCGCAATTTAGATTTTTTAAAATCTCTTATATATTGGTTATATTAATTTAAAAGTAATAAACTGTATTAAATTAAGTTGATGCAAAAAATAATTTTATTTATATCGAGATTAATATTTCTTATGATAACAAACTTCAGTACAAGTATATTAATGACTATATGTAAGTACTTACTGTTGTAACCAGCTACAGGCAAAACTTGGGCCAGTTGCCGATTTTGTCGTGCTCCCCTATGCGTCATACACGCAATTCTTACCACATCTTACTGTAAACAAGTAATGAATGACACATTTAGTCGCATCTTGCGTAAAATTAAAATCTATATATATTCAAAATAACACTTAAAAACAACTTATTTCATCATTGGGCCGCATTAAATAGGCCCTTCATGTTCAATAAATATTAGTAACTAACTGTACGGTATACTGCAATATAGTAATTCATGTGTGACTTCCGGTGGATAGTAACGTGGGTCACGTGAGTGTTAGTTACGTTCTTTGTCTTTTTGGCTTTTAATCTTCATTGTTGTATATTTTTTCCAAGAATCTAACAAACATGACAATGAATATACAAAGATATAAATTACAGCTTTTAAATTACTCTATTAACATCGAGCAATCTCAAAGTGCTGCATAAATTATTTTAAAGATTAGCAACCATGCACTGGAAAATTAAGAGTATTCCTGCACTCCCTGCGCAACATCCTCATTACTATATAGTGACAGACTATATGCTTCATGCTGCGCCTACAATACTACCATCAACAAATTAGTTCTTCAACTTCGCTCCATTAATTAATGTCTAGTTTCATTCGCAGGGCATATCTGGTGACCATGATCTGTGCGCAAAATCTTCCTTCAATTTACACCACCTAAGCTTTTTGAAGTTCACGAGTATACCAGTATAAAACTGCACCATTAATTTTCGGTTAGATTTTTTCATGTCAAGTTGATTCAAGCAAGACACGATGAAATATGGACAAGAATCAAAGCAAATATATTTATTAAAGGAGAGTCGAAGCGATATCGAGTACGAATGAAATATGAAAAGGAAGAGATATGAAGCTATCACCGTTATCACATCATCAACACCTTGCAATAATTTCGTATTTAGATATTTGATCACATCACACGAACGAAATTAGCGCTAAACTCTAGAGCATGCTATTATGCTTCATGTAAACCATCAGCAAGTAATCATCGCGACTCCTATTTAGCATATAAATATCAAAATACACTAAAATACAACTAAAGAAACTGATAGATATGAAAAAATTATTCGTCAGTAGTAATGACCTTCTTGCATAAATATATCATTCTAATTTCACTGAAATTAAGAACTCTGCAGAAGTCACCAAACTGTTAGGAAATTCTAGACACCACAATTCATGGAAACAAAATAAGTGATTTAAATTCTACAGAAAGTTGAAATATGGCTTCTTGAAAACCTTCCGTTTCTTAAATTATTAGTAAATGATCATTTATGAGAGTGAATAACTGAGAGAGTAGAAAGAACAACAACATCATATGCGAAGAATATCAATCATAGGCTCCATTCTTCTACATTCATTTTTACGTAACTCGTGTCCTCGCTTCTCACTTCCAAGAAAAACTTATAAACAACTTGCGAAAATGCACAACTTATGAAAAATGAGTAATAATAGCAGTATTTGGTGTTACATTAAAGAGTCATACGTTAAAGATCAAGGATAAAATATATAAATTTTAGTTCCGCGATTCCAGTTCACTGCACGATCACAGAATGTCACATTTGCTTTTTTTCTTTTTCTTCTGTTGCAGCGCTGCTTGAGTAGCTTTTTCAAATACTTCACGAATTCCCTGAATAAAATTTTCCTGTAGATCTTTATCGCATAATGCTGATTTCATTCAATAGTTTTAACTCTAGAATCTCGTTCAATTAAAAATTATTGTAATAACTGACTCTATACAGCGGAATGCACTTTACTTCTTTACTGAATGGAAAAATCTGAATATTGAACTCAAAATCAAAATTTACATCTTTCGCTTTAGCGGAGCATTCTAAATATGCAAAGGCCCCTATCTGTTCTGCTATCGCACGTCCCTGCTCTGGTCTAACTGGTTCCTGCTTCATTTTTGCCAACTCGCGAATGGTTTGCTGATCATTTCGTAGATCTTTTTTATTTCCAACGAGAATGATTGGAACATTAGGGCAAAAATGTCGCACCTAATTTCAATATTAAGATACACAACACCAAAAACATATTGTACAAGCTCGTAATTATTTTCGATAGTGATTGAAGGGAACAAAAATTCACTGGAAATCAACAAATTACTTTTGCAAAATGTCACAAAACGTTGTAACGTATTATAATAGAAAATTTTGACTTCATTTGACAGAAATATTTAATATAATAAATGACTCGACAACTTGGCACTATTTGAAGAAACATATTCTAAAAAAATGAATAATTTTTATATCTAACCTCAGGAGTCCATTTCTCAGGAATATTTTCAAGTGAATCAGGTGAATCAATACTAAAGCACATCAAAATTACATCAGTATCTGGATAACTGAGAGGGCGTAATCGATCGTAATCCTCCTGGCCAGCAGTATCCCAAAGCGCTAACTCAACCTATATAAATCAGATGTCCAAATAAACTATGTAAAGCATCATCCATCTTTCCTAACGACTTTTTCATTTTTGTTTATAGTAAATCTTAAACTCCAGGTAACTCTAATATTAAGCCAAGCCAAAAGTAAAAACTATCAACGAAAGTATTTTCACTGAAAAAAGCAATTAAAATTGCAAGCTATAGTATGTATACTGGCTTGCTGATGCATGTATACCATACATGCAATTTTGATAGCCTAGTTGATACTTCTTTTTCGTAGAAATTCCAAAAAAAGAAGATCTCGAATTTTAAGGAGTATTTAAAAAATTGATGTTTCCCTTAAATCATTAATACTCAGAGAAAAAATCACACCTGTTTCCCATCAACTTCTATATCAGCAACGTAATTCTCGAATACTGTTGGTACATACACATCAGGGAATTGATCTTTGCTGAACACAATCAACAAGCATGTCTTGCCTGAATTAAATGAATGTTGAGATCGAACTTTATAAAATACCTTCAATCCAACTAATAGACTAAAATATGATCACAAACATTTATTCACTCATTACAAGATCCAAATAGTTTGATTTTATTTCCAATGAGATAAAAAAAAATTAATGGCAGATTAACTAACCACAAGCGCCATCCCCAACAATAACCAATTTCTTGCGAATGGCTGCCATATAAGTAGTACTACCAAACCTTCAATATGAGATAATGCAACCAAATCTGCATATTTCAACAGTAACTTTCATGATCAAATACCTCGAATAATACACAACGCATCTATCATAGTTATTAAACAAGCACGTCAATTTAAATAGTTTTACAAGATGTTTTACAGCTTTACAAGATATTAATTAGCACAGATTCAATGACTTTTCTAATTGTAGTGAAATATTTTTATGATGAAAAGAACAAAATTTGCTGATAAGAGTTAAGAGTTGTAATTGTAAAATTTGTTAGCTAGAAGTAACGTAGGAAAAGATGACAGCTAATAATTCACCAGTAATATTAATCAATTTTTATATTTCTGTCGAAATAATCGGCTTAATAAGCGATGATTCTTAGTTATGAGAAACTTCTTTTCAAACCTTACATAACAACAATCAATTCCCCTTACACTGCAACAGTTCGTAATAATATCATCAAGAAGCAATTAAATAATTGCTTCTATTGAAGTCAACAAAAAACAGTTGCAAATTTTCTGATTTTGAAGAATTTTGATGATTCACAACTTCTGCATCAAAAAGTGTCACTGAGCTATTCATATTTTCGATGTTTACTTTTGTATCGAATAAATGCATCAAGAAATCAAATCAAGTAAATTAAACTATGAATCTATTTGACCTGTCAAATAACTTCTCTACAAAGTTGCAAAGCAAGAAATATACTAAAAAAAAGAAGAAAACATAAAAGAATATCGTTTCTTTCATTTTAAGTCAAAAAAATCAATCAATTTTAGCACATTTAATTTTTAACTATGTGTCTTTTCCGCACAGCACATAAAGACTAATAATCCATTGCAAAAAAAAAAACCCAAAATGTTCTAAATTAACTTTTAAAAGAGAATACCAAATATATTATACAAGAAAGGAAATGAAAGTACCTCAGATCAAAACAATGCAATGTATATACTGAAACTGTAGAAGATTGCAACAAGCTACCTTTGCAGACGTAGCAAAAGAACTGTATCTAATTCTAAATGCACCATAAAACTAGTCTTACTATAAATATGTAATGTATAAAAAATAGAATAAAAATACATTATTAAAGAAGGTACGTCATCGTACGCCAACATTCTGCTTAATCATCACACTCACGATGAGTAATAGAACGGCCATAGAGACGCTGTGCAACATGAGGCATCCCATTTCATATAATATTTTTGTCCAAATCGATAATCATCGATGTTAACTAGTACGTACGTGGGTGCTTTTGGTAATCAATCATAAAGCTATCAATAGATGCCAAGAACTCAGCAGTAGTCAACACCGATAGATACTGATTAGTAGTCCAATTGTTTTTTTTAATAAATACTTAAAACGATAGTAAATGAATTGAATAATGAAATAAATAAATAAATAGCCTTTGCCAGGCATATCTTTGGAATATCCATTTGTAGTTTGTAAGACAAGTTTATGTACTTGATAAATAGTTATTTTATTCAACAAAATAGACGTACAGACAGAGAGATTAATATTATTTTATTCAACAAAATAAACAGTTGGATTAATATTATGAATTAATGATTACTGTAGAGTATATATATTATACACTTTCAATAAATTTGTTGACAAAAATTTGCGGGAAATTTGACAAAAAACCATGAAAAATCGATAAGAATCAAACAAGATTTGGTGTTATCAGCAAGAAAACTTTTGAAGTTTGTTAGAAACCATGCTGGTTCTATGGGATTTCACTTCAGAAGGCTGAATTTCAGCTTCAAAGGTAACAACTTCCATCGGCGATATTTGCATTTTCAACTCTGTAATATTTTTATACATTATTTTCTGTTTTATCTTTCTGCTACCTTTAATTTTGCATTATAAAAAAGTTTAGGAAAATTGATAAACGATATCAGTGCTTATCTGAAAATCAATAATACAATAGAGTATATGATTAGTGTACTTAGAATGTCGATACACTAACTTGACACGTTATTTGACGTTAATATATTCGTTTTTCATAAGATACTTTCGTAAGTGTTGCGTGAAAAATGAATAGTTTCAATTAATTTTATAAAATAGAGTTTTTTTTTTTCACTAGTATTAAATCAGAAGTAACTAGTAGTATCAAAAATTTCTGCACGAAATAAACAGTACTTTCTTCTCGAAGATGCGATTCGAAAAAATTACAGTTATTGCTAGAACCTTTTTTGTTCACTGCTGCAAGATTGAGTTCTCTAATGGAAACAACCTCAAATCCGTTAAACATTCCCTGAAGGTAGTTTGCTACTAATTTGCATAAAATCAGTACAAAATAATTTGCATATTACACAGTAATCATCCATGGCATGCAATCCGTCCCAAACAGTAATAAAACCAGTTTTAGGCTTTTTAATCTCTTTTCATTCACAAATTATTTGATAGTAATTATTACATCGAAAAGATCGCGCTTTTTTTTTTCGAATTAATTTTATTCACAAAATGAAACACGCGAACAAACATTTTTGTGTAATGCATAATTGGTTTCAATAAATCATTCATATCAGAACAGGTTATTATTTTCACTGCATACTATGATTTATTATATTCTCATCCAACTTATCTGATCTAATCATATGATTTTTTATAGTTTTAAAATGTTCAAAATGTGGAAAGCACCTTACATTGAGATCGACTTCAATAGGTTTTGATAAATTTACATCATCGTTGCTTTGTAAAATATGCTCGAAACGAATAACCATTCGTTGTGGAGCTACTAAATCCATGGATATAATATTGATTACTTCTGGCAGAGACTGCTCCAACGCGGAATACTAAAACTATATTCAAATTTTATGCTGTACTCATAAATTTGCATATTTTTCAAATATTTCCTTCACTAATTAAAAGTACGCATAATTAAAAAAGTTAATTTAGCACAACAATTCAAAGTATAAATGTTATTTTAATAGTTATTATTGCTTTTTTTGCAAATAAAATTTTTTTTTCTTACTTTTTAAAAAAATAATAATTTGATTGCTATTATTTACCTCACACACAAAAGTTCGGCTATAATCTTCTGGTGCTATTTTCCGTTCTGCAGTTGTTATCAAAGGTGAATGATATAGTTCCGTAGCGAATGTTCGATAAAGTGTTGAATCTTGTACATTATTAAGCATCAACCAATGACGCCCGCGAACTACCAGACCTTTTCCGGTATCTCCTGGTTCATCGAGTGCTTCCCCAACACCAAAATTGTCATCGTAAAATGACCGCCGATGTAGCTTAAAAATAATCTTTTTTGCATGATACTTTCTTTTTAATAATTTTTGCTACAGTGAAAATTAATTATGAATTGTAATGAATTTGTGTACTTGCATTAAACTTGAATAAATTTACCATTATTTCGATTTCTCCGTCGTTTAGACTGCTGCCACCCTGGGAACGATCAGTGAAAATAGTTAATTGATTTTCTGAATCTCGAATAAATATTCGATCATTTATGGGGTAATAATTTCCTGCTACTTGTTCTGTATCCACAAAAGGAAATGAGGGATATTGATTTCTCCTATAACTAACTAACTCATTTACTTACTCTAAACCATTTTTTTTTTTGATTTAGTACAATCATATTAATTATCGTCATTATTATTATTAATGGTATTAATATTATTAATATGTTAACCTGCAGAATACGATCAAAAAATCAGTGATAAAAAACAAAAATTACACAATGTAATATTTACATTGAATTGTTTATGTTTAAACATGCTAAAATATACCAGAAGTATGAAGTAGTGTTTGATGACAAACATAACTTTTACTCACGTTCGTTTGATCATTTGCCTTCCGTTGGAATCAGTGTAAAATATACCTGCCGAATTGATTTCAGTGATATAACGAGTGACTATTTCTTTAGTAACTGAATTTCTGCAATTTAACACTAGAAAATAAGTTTCAAACATGCAGGAAAATTTTTCGAATCTCCTAAATTTAATTAATTAATCGACCAATCAATCAATAACTAATTAATTAATTGAAACATATATATAGATAGATAAACCGAATTTCATCCTAGATTAAATTTTTATATGCTTTGAAATCAAAGATAATATTGCAGACAAGAAAGTAATGATTGATCTGTTCTCGAAATGCAAATTAGATCAAATACTGGAAGCAATATACCTTATATATCTTTTTTGCCCTACTTTACGACTATTTTTTAGTTTTGTCATATTCTATTTCTATACTTTCAAATTTCTGATTCAAAAAATGAAAACCTTTAGTTTAAATTTTGAGATATAGATGACAACAAAGTTTACACTCAGATCCTTGTTAAAATTTGCAAACTAATAAAACGTACTTAAACTCTTTTGGTATTGGCCCAATAGTCCATTCAAATTCCACGAAATTCTTACCAGAATACAAGCGGATTACTTGACTTATCCATGGCGTGATAACTTGTCTCGTCTCATTGATTAGTAAACCCTTTGAATAGAATTATCGAATTTTTAAAAGTATTTAATTTTGATTTTTTAAAAAGTATTTAATTTTGAATTCTGATTTGAAACAAATAAGCTAAATACCTCAATGTAATCGATCTGTGCAATATTTGCTATTCGTTCTGGTTGGGTACCATTTGGTCTGAAAATGTAAGCTCCAGAAGACTGATTTTTAGCATTTGTGAAGCCCATTCCACGATATAGAAAGAATTCTTGTCTTAACTTTGCGAGCTTTCCATTTTTCCGATTTAAAATTGATATTAATTCTCCTGACGAGTCAAAGGTCAATGCGATATACTAAAAACTTAACATCAGACATAATTACTGTTTGAAAATTAGAAGCAGAAAATGTAAGCTTGAAACTTTTTAGCTCAAATTTTCACTTAATCACTCCATAGTAACTTTGCATATCTTTTAGCAGCTACTAAGTAATAATTCTTACCTCATTTGTCATCGTAATTGTATTAGAAGCTTTTATTTTATGCATCCTGCTACTACTTCTGTATGCAAGTCTACTTCTGGCATATTCCAGTTTTTTATCAGCTCTAAGTTTGCATAACATAAGAAAACAGGAAATGTCAAAGTTCAAATATTATTAATATATTTGTCATTATGATATAAAAATATTTGACAAACTTTTTTGAAGTAATAAATAATGTAGTGAAACCGATTGCTGGAATATTTGTTGGTATAAGTAATTCGTAGGGAGCGGATAAAGGTTTTCTCAGCTGTCCATCATTATAGAATGCTTTATTAATCTGAAAAATCTACAAAAGTATGAAAACTATTTATTATTTATTTTTTGGCCAAAAAAAAATTCAGTGTTTTTATCAGTACAATAATATACGAAGCTATATGCAGTCAATTAAGCTTGATCTGTCATCTAAGTATTAGATTGAAATAACTTCTATGACCCTTGTATACAAAGATGCATCTGAATTAGAAGTCGAAAAACAGATCTTTAGTATCCAAAATTAAAAAAGGAAAGATATTAACCTTAAACAGACATTTGAACTTCCTATAGCACTACAACCAAAACTGGATATACTGATATTGTGAATAAATCAATCAAATAAATATTCATTAAAAGAATAAATTCTGTTCGTAGTCAATTAAAATTATTTATCAATAAATTCAATTCTGATTAATTTGATCTAATATATTCATTGAATACTTGTGCATTTATTTATCTGTCTAACTATTAAAATTTGATTTTTTATAAATAACTTTCAACAAACTTGAATGTTTAACAGCTTATTATCTGAAGATTGAACAACAACTGATCGAGAATAGATTGGAATCCTTAGCACAGTACTCATCGGATGAGAATTCGAGTTATATGCGGTTAAAGTGATATTTTGATAGAATCTATAACACAAAAAAATGATGAAAGTATTCGTATTCATATTAAAAATTTGAAAAAGTTGGGTGGGAATTAAGTAATATTTTAGAATATTTAATAATTTTATGATCCTTTGAGAACTTTACTTATTTACACGTAATATTTAATTATTCACAGCTATTGGTTTCATATATTTCTGTAAAAATATTATTGTTCAAAAAGCTATTGTCTGCATCATTTTTATATTTTTTTCAATTACTATAAGTGAAAAAGTTTGCTTTTGAAGCACTGACAACAAAGTCTGGAAGTGATCTCAAAATATTATTATGAAGCATACTTCGTGTCTCTTTTGTAGTGAAAGTGCAAGGTCACGTGTAAAGATATCAAGCATGACCCACTTCATAACCTGGTAGCATGAGCACGTAAGTATTGAAATAACAATGTGCAAAAACATCAGATTTTTTATAATAAAAACTATTTAGATGATTAAAACCAGAAATGAATGACTTGGTTGCATTGCACTGAGTTGTATTGAGGTCACGACAGATGACCTGCTGTTCAGGTAGCATTCCTTTCAATTTTACGTTCAATTTCTTAGATATATCGTTGATTATTTTCTGCAAAATAGTATTATTTCTGAAGCAAAGGTTAAAACCAACAAAACTGTAATCCTGTTGTGTTGTTTTATTCAAAAAGAATAAATTGAACTTGTAAGATACTTGTAACACAGGTAATATCTTCCTTACAGTATCACAAAAATTAGTATAAATATGGAATAACATTAATGACAGTATTAGCATGGACAAATATAACAGTGATATTGCCAATAAATATAAGAAGTACATGAGAAGAAGAAAAGGCTAGAATGTACTGAACAATACCTGGGCTTCGTCCCAACCACGTGAAAGACGAAGTTCATAATCCCTCGTTACGTTTTCACGTGCAGTTCCACTGAAATGCAATATCTTATGTAAAAAATTAAATTTTAATTCGAATAAGCGGAAAAGTTATTCACAAAATAATCATCTTAGCATTTATTCTCATCATATGCACAATTACGAAGTGTATTTTTATAATTATTAGCAGTGAATTATTCAAATTTGCACAACTGTCTTATTTGAATATTATAGATTTATCAAGCAAAAATTTAGCACAATCTGGTACTCGAAAGTATATATGTGTATTACAAAAAAATTTATGGATATTTTATAAGAAAGTTCATTTAAAGAAAATTGAGTACTTCATGTTTTGTTTTTATTTGTTTATAGTCTTAAATAATTGTCTGAGTAATGATTTGAAAAAAAAAATTACGTGATAGCATCATGATGCTGCGCGAGAGCTACAGCATTTTGCAAAATACTGTAGTTTCTGAATAGTAATACAGAAGTTTGAAGCTTCTTGACAAGCTACAATTATTTTTATTACATTTTCAACAAAACTTTCAAACATTATTGAGTCTTCGAAATTATTCCGATTAACGATGATTTAATTAAGACAGATTACATTAAGTTATTATGCAAAATGTGGTACCAAACAGCTAAATTATATTTGATAGTAAAGCAAAAAGTAATATCAAGAAAAAAAGTGAAAAATTATAAAAACTAATCCAAAAATCACTAATGAATAGCCAAGTTAATATAAGATAACCTGTAGAAGTGCGCTACTTTGTCGAACGAAACCTTTAAAAGTAGGTCTGCTTGTGTAGAATCCTGTCCAGAAACTATGATTAGAAGATGCATAAGGGAAGAAATCATCTGATCTAGTCGGTAATTTTGGATTACATTCTTTCACAGCCAATAAATAACACGTTGGCGTAGAGTAGAATATATTTACTTTTGTACTTAAAGTCTAAATTACATACTTTTATTATAATCTTTTTTCACGTATTTTCTAATTGCGCAAAACTTTTAATTAATTTATTTGAGTTTTAATCTAACCATTTTATGCAAATTTCCACCATTTGTATTACATTTTTTTAAATATTTTTTTAATTCTACAAAATTTTTAATTATTTTACCTGATTTTTACTAATAAATTTGATTAATTTATCAAGATTTGTATACCAACGATTTGCTGACGTGTACTGAAAATCGCCACCCATTAAAAACATTACGTGATTAGTTCGTTGATGAGATGCCTTAAAATAAATAATTATTTGTAAACCAGAGGATAATATTTATATTAATACTTTATAAAGAATTATGCAGATTTTTTGTTTATTAAATAAAATTTTTGGATTTATCAAAAATTCATATTATTGTTTTTTTTTCTGCCAAATAATATTTAAACAAATTTAATGATAGCTTCATTAGTAAATAATAATTATGAATTAATTACCTGTTCTTTAGCAAAAGCTATAAATTCTTCGGCTCGTTGATCAACGTTGTATTCCTCTAAGTAATTATTATCCATGATCGGTTCATCTAAACATTCTCCATCGAAGCAAAAACCTGGTGGTGGACCATAACTATCCCCATAAAATATACTAGTAAAAATATTTTTTTCTGCAAAAAAAATGGCAAAAAGTTATATCTATTATAGAAAAATTATTAAATAATTAGTTTAATAAAGTTATAATATTCAAACAGTTGTTGTGTAAAAAAAGCTTTAGTATTCTAAATAGCTATTTTTAATATGCATAAATTCTATTTAACAAAAGAAAAAGCATTAACTAAGATCATCAGAAGTATTCCAAATAAATTCTAAGCTGGAATTATGCACTCGAATTTCTTTTTCTAAGAAATGAAGCCGTGAAAAGAATACTGCCTCAAAGTCCATCTGAAACTTTTCTCTAATTTACATACTAGCATTGATTATTCATTATGGGATAATATAATATAATATAATATAATATAATATAATATAATATAATATA